TGTGCACACACACACACACACACACACACACACACACACACACACACACCCCAAATCTGATTCCTTTGGTAGGAGAAAAATATGCGTAATGATTGAAGGAATTATCTTCAACTGGTTTTCTATAACAAAAAGAACAACTGGCATACACTTTTAGAAAGTTTTGTGTGGTGTGGATAACTGGACCTCTGTTTCTGATCTCCTTCTTGGGTTTCTGGTTCTTTTGGGAAGTCTATAGAATTTGGAAAAAATTGGCTTTCTCTCTTTTTTCGCCCAAAATAAAATAGAGCAATCCCAGAAATATTCATGAGGCAGCTCAATAAGTAGGAGAGAGCTCCAGGCATCCACAATAAAATGGCATTAAATCTGAAAAGCCATGCCCCTAAGTTGAACCACAATGTGCCTGGACAAGAACCATAACAAAGGCCACGTTACAAGGTAGCTGGCTTTATTTTAACCACCAATTAACAACTTGTAAGAGTACTGACTTGCCCAAGAGTAATTGGTCTTCTAGAAGTGACATCAAAAGACATCTGGGGACTGTACCATAGAGACAGACTTTCCAGAATAATCTGGCACTGCCCACTCAACCCAGACTAAAGGACCAAGGGAGGATTCAGACTCTTGTGCTTAGAAACAAACAAATTCATTAAAGTGCTGCTTAACCTAAGAGCCACGGAGCATACTTTGATTTAATTAGGAACAATATTCTGTTTGTAATGAGCATATTAAAAAGTTTTTTTCTTTTATCTCTAGTCATCATTTTTACTGCTATACTTGTTCCAACTGGAATGAAACATCCTTTAAATTGTATTTTGTCCAAGTCACCCATCAAAATTCAGAATGAGCAATCCCACTACAGATTACAAGCTAATACATAAATAAAAACACATACTTATAGAAATAAAAACACATACTTATTCTGTAGTGATCAAGGCATGTATTAGTTATTGTTGTTTTAAAGCCAGCAGAATAATGGAATACCAATTAGCTAAATATTATACAAAATATTTTACAAAGTATCTCTACCCAGTATTTTTTCCAGATCATGGAAAGTTACATTGTAGTTTCAACAATAATCTGTTGTCTCTTATGAAGCAACAACTAGATTAACCAGTCAGTACTTAGGAACAGGATACCGATCTCACTTAAGTCTAACAAAAGCTTTATTGAGGAACGGGTTATTGTTTTTTCATTTGAGTTTCTTGAACGCTGGAGAGAAAAGCTGTTTGGTCATTTATATAATTTGCCTTATTTTCTCCCAGTCTGTGGATTGTCTTTTACATACTTATGGTTTCTGTTACTTGTTTGGGGTAAAAATGTTACTTTTGAGGAAGTATAATTCACTTTTTTCTTTTATGAATTGTACTTTTGATGACTTATGTAAGAACTTTAAAAAATTTTATTCAGATATATTTTATGGCATAATATTCCCCTTTCATTTACTTTTATATGATCTCCTTTAAAGGAAATAATTCTGCAGTTTTTAACATATTCACAAAGTTGTGTGACTAAAAGCATGAATTTCAGAAATTAGATGGATTCTCATTATTCTCAGAGAAACCCCATGCTTTTTAGCAGTCATTTTCTTTTTTTCCATTTTCTCCTTCCACCCTGATTATAGGCCCAAATCTTCAAACAGACCAGGGCTCAGAAGATTTGTCTGTTTCCAGCATTAGACATGATAGAATCATCTAATATGTTGGCATTTGTGACTGGTTTCTTTCATCCCAAACGCTAGTTTCAGGGTTCATCCACACTTTATCTCGTATCAATACTTCTTTCACTCCTCTTTATAGCTAACTGATGTCCCATTGCACATATACACCACATTTTGTTTATCCATTCATCAGTTGTGGTTATTATCAGTTGTCTCTATTCTTTGGATATTATGAATAATGGTATTCAACATTCAAGTAAAAGTGCTTTTTTTTGTGTGATTGTAACCCAAACATGAAAGCTTGTAACTATCTCACGGTGATTCAATAAAATTTAAGAAAAAAAAAATAGTTCTGAAAGGCGTAAGAAGAGTTAAGCTTTGCAGCACTTTGCAACATTGGTTAAAAAAAAAGTCACTCTCAGTGGTGCTAGGTGTGCCTGTGTGTGTGTATGGGCGGTGTGTGTGTGTGTGGGGGGGGGGGGAACCATGCAGTGCTGGGGATCAAATGAGGGGTTCCCATATGCAAAACACATGCTTTATCCCTTTGAACAATTTCTCTAATTCTGAATCTATGTTTTTAATATCTTGGTTGTACATTTAGAGCTAGGATTCTTGTTTCATGTGGTAACTCTAGGTTTAACATTTTTAAAAGGGGTGGGGTCACACCCTGCATTGTTGAAGACTTACCTCTGGTTCTGAGTTCAGGGATCACTCTTCGCTGGCTCAGGGGACCATATAGGGTGCCAGGGATTGAACCCAGTTCAGCCACATTCAGGTCAAGCACCTTACCCACTATACACTAACTCAGGCCCCAGGTTTAACCTTTTTTAGGATTTGCCAAATGGTTACACCAAATGACCATATAGTTTTGCACATTCCTACCAGTAATATCTGAGGGGTCCAATATTTCTACATTCTCATCATCATACACATTGTGGTTTTGCTTTGCATTTATTTCCCTGGAAATTAATCAACTCTTCAAGTTTTTTTTTTTTTGCCATTTGTTTACCTTCTCTTGAGAAATGTCTATTTAATATTGTGCTCATTTCTTAGTTTTAAGTTTTTGTTTTGTTTTTGCATCGCACCCAGTGGTGCTCATGGCTTACTCCTGGTTCTGTGCTAGGAATCATTCCTGGAAGGGTTTGGGAGACCATCTGGGGTGCTAGGGATCAGACCTGGGTCGACCTTGTAGAAGGCAAGCACCCTACCTGCTGAACTATGTCTCCAGCTCAATAAAAAATATTAGAAAATCTTTATTTCTAAAAAAATCAAGTCCTTTCCCCATTTGTCCTTTCATATTGTCAGAGTTTTTTTAAATATTCTAGAGAACCCAGACTCTTATCAGAATTAATATTTGAACCATTTCCTCCCATTCTATGAACTGCTTTTGCACTTTCTTGATTAGCATCCTTCGAAGAACAAAATCATAATTACTTATTTTTTTAATTTGGAGCCACACCCAGCAGTGTTCAGGGCTTACCTCTGTCTCTGCACTCATGGATCACTCCTGGTGAGGATCAGGAACTATATGAATGCTGGGGATCAAACCCAAGTCAGCAGCATGCAAGGCAAGTGCCTTAACCTGCTGTATTCTCTCTGCACCCTTCCCCCAAACCAGTATAAGATTTTAATAATAAAGTCCAGTTTATCATTTGTTTTCCCCTTGCTTGAGCTTTGGTGCTGCTTTTAAGAAATTATTGCTTATTAGGCTGGAGAGATAGTACAGTGGGTAGGGAGGGTTCTTGCCCTGCATGCAGCAGACTCAGGTTTGATCCCTGGCATTTGATATGGTACCTTTAGCTCCATCAGCCCACCAGGAGTAATTTTGAGTGCAGAGCCAAGAGTAGCCCCTGAGCATCACTCAAAGGTAAAGGTAAAGGTAAAGGCCCTCCCATCGTCGATTTGCTGAAGCGGGCCCAGTAACGTCTCCATTGGAGACTTTGTTGTTACTGTGTCTGGCATATCAAATACTCTCGGTAGCTTGCCGGGCTCTCCAAGAGGGGCGGAGGAATCGAACTCGGGTCGGCCATGTTTGCCGCTTGTAAGGCGAACGCCCTACCCGCTGTGCTATCGCTCCAGCCCACTCAAAAATTACAACAAAATATTGACTTACTCTAAGATCACAACAATTATACCTATGGTTTCTTCTAAATGTATTTGATAGTTTCACTTTATCATCTCAGCATTTGATCAATGTTGACTTAGCAGTGTGAGGTATGGATCAAGGCTCAAGGAGATCTTGTTTGCTTTTTGCAGATGGCTAGCCAATTTTATTTTTAGCACAATTGTTAAAAAGTTTCTTCTTTTCATTGAACTGTTTTTGCAACTTCACTGGGGAAAAATCAGTTGGCTCTACTCCTGAAAGGAGAACATACTGCCTTTGTTCCAAGAGTACAGTAGGAGAAAGGGGGAAGGCAAAAATAAAGCAGAGAAGCATTACAAATACACCCGTAGCCAGGTGATCACAGTCAACATTGACACTGATGTCACTTAGTTGGTATGGCAAGCTACCCGTGATGTATTCGATATGCCAAACACAGTAACAACAAAGTCTCCAATGGAGACGTTACTGGGCCCGCTCGAGCAAATCGATGAACAACGGGAGGACAGTAATACAGTGATCCCGAAATAAAATGCTAGAGCATTTGGTGCTCCTCGATCAAAGTATGAACACAGAGGTGACTTAAATTGAGAAGATTGGTTGGAGAGTTCATTTAGAAATGAATTAGATTTCCCCGACTCTTAGCTGACATAGTTCAATGATGTCCTTCCCTTTGAGGAGGAAAGCATGCAGTGAATGATCACTTTCAGGCTGGGCAACAAGAAGCGCAATGAATGAGGACCTAGAATAGAGCTCACTGATACAGCATTTGCTCTGCATGTGTGAGGTCTTGAGTTTGATCCCTGGTACTGATAAAAGAAAGAAGAAAAGAAGAAAAGAAAGAAAGAAGACATAAAAAGAAATAAAGAAACAAAGAAATAAAGGTGCCTGGCTCAGACAGCCGGGGGCAAATCTGGTGAAAGCTTTTGTCCCAGAAACAGAATCCAGGAAAGGTGAAAGGAAGCAGCAAGCAACAACAGCCCTGCGGGAGGGAGTAGACCCACAGAGACTCCCCATTCCGGGTTAGGCGGCGGTGCAGGAATGGGGGAGGACGCTCGCAGACCCCAACGGAGAGGGTGGTCCGGCTCCCGGGCTCTGCGCCGAGCAGGGAAACCCGGTGCAGGGAACCCCAGGACACCGCAGAGAGCGCGGGTCCCCGCGTCCGGCGTCCTTCCCGCCTCTGCGCAGGCGCCAGGACTTGGCCCCGCCCCCGCTCGGCCCCGCCCGGTCCCGGCGCGGGGCAGGACGGGAAAGTCAAGATGGACGCGTCCATTTGAACGCCTCACCTGGGTGGCTCGCCCGCACTCCCGCCTGCTGTGAGCCGTCGAGCCCGTGGCTGCCGCCCGTTCTTCCTCCGGAAAGGGGAGGAAGAGGGAATGAGAAGGTGCAGCGGCCGAGGAGTTCCCGCGACCGACCCCCTCGCTGCCCTCGGGCCCCCTCGGCCCCCGCGCCTCCGGGAGCAGCCGGGGCTCGCCGCGTCTCGACGCGTCCCGAGTTACACAGGTGCGGCTTGGGGCCCGCAGCCCCGTGTGTTGGGTCGCGGGTTCTGGTCTCGCGTCCACCTCGGGGCCGGTGCGCGGCCGGGCACCCGGAGAGGCAGGTGGCCGGGCCGCGGGCCCTGAGCGCCGTCGGGAGCCTCGGGCTTGTGGGCCCGGGTTACGGGTGCAAGTCCCGGTGCAGCTTTCCCGAGCTGGACGCGGTGCTGCGGGTGCAGCCTCGGCGTCTCGAGCGGACCCTTCCTTAGTCCGTGGACAGGACACTCTTTCTTTGGAAGCCCGCGCTGTTGGCCTGTTGGTATTGGCCGAACCGTAACGGGGCTCCGGAACCTCTGCTTGGCGGAGTCCACACACGTGTTGTCTGCGTGTTGCGTGCGGTCTCCTCTGCGAGCAGTTTTGTGGTCACCGCAGGGTCCTCCTAAAGTGACGCTGACTCTAGGGGCGGGAGAGAGAGCTCAGTGGGGGAGGCACTTGCTTTGCACGCGGTCGATCAGATTGGATCCCTGGCATCCTCTAGGGTCTCCCAAGCCCGGCCTGAGGACAGAGCCAGGAGTAAACCCCGAGCATCGTCAGATGTGACTCCAGAACCAAAAACGAAGCAGACAAAAAACAGTGTTGAGACCTTTATTTAAAACGCATATCAATTTAACGTAACGTAGTGCTATTAAATATCCCTCCGTGTAAGCTCTAATAAAAACATGAAATGTGGGCCACTGTAAAAATTTTATATTTAAAACGCATATCATTTTAACGTAACATAGTGCTATTAAATATCCCTCCGTGTAAGCTCTAATAAAAACATGAAATGTGGGCCACTGTAAAAATTTTAACTATGTGGCCATCATCAGTACAGAAAGAGACTCCTCTGAACTAATTCTGTTATTGATAACTCTTAGGCTGTTCCGCTTTTAATAGACTAACATTTCAGAATTGTACAGTTGGTGGAATAAAGTCAATTAATTTTTAAAATTTTTTATTTAGTTTTTTGGGTCATGCCCGGCGGTGCACAAGGGTTGCTCCTGGCTCTGCACTCAGGAATTACCCCTGGCGGTGCTCAGGGGACCAAATGGGATGCTGGGAATTGAACCGCGGTTGGCTGCGTGCAAGGCAAACGCCCTACCCGCTGTGCTATTGCTCCAGCCCCCAAGTCAGTTCTTTTAATCTTCGCTATCTTGGAGGAATGGAATAGAGTTGGCTGGAATAGACGACTATCAACGGGGTTTTGTTTCCTGGTGAATTTCATAAGGCAGTATTTTAAGCATGTTCCAAATCCAAGTGTTTTCAGTTACGAACTTAGCAGGAGGAAAAAGAAGGTGTCATGGCTGAGAGATTGTTATTTCAGGAATAGCAGTTTATTTACTACAGAATCAGGCAATTCTAGAGGAGTTGCTTCAGAATTGTCTGGGTTTTAAGTTACAAATGGAGTAAAAACCAAACAAAAAAACCCGGGAGAGAAGACTGCATCCAAAGAAATCTTAAGTCAAATTCAGTCCAATACTTTATAAAAGTGCTGTTACAAACATCCTATAGGTTATTTATAGTGCTGAACCCTAATGTAAGCAGACACCTTGATTTCAGCTTAAATGTGATACCATGAAACTTACTTGATTTTCTTTTTTTGACAACATCCAGCCCAGCTCAAATGCTACCTCTGGCTCAGTATGTAGGGGGCAGGTGAGTTCCTGGTGGTTGCCTCAAATGTTGCTCAGGAGGCCCATGTCATGTCTGGACTGCAACTGAGCTCCCTGTGAGCAAGCATGGGCTGCAGCCTTCTGACCCTCCCTCCAAAATCCACTTTTAAATGTGCATGTTGCTTTGGAGACAACTGATGTTCATCTTATATGTTACACAGTATGAGAGTTTTACTGTCCGTGTATTAGAAGAAGAAATATTTATGCCCACACATCTTTGTAGTAACATAGTGACAAACCAATCTGTCCATTGAAATTAGGATTCTTTGCTACAAGTTTTGATTATTCATGACCAGAGTTATTTATTCCTTAGTTCCTTGGATTTGGAACCAAAATTGAACTGACTATAGAACTACTGCTGATATTTGATACTTTGTTAAATTTTTTTGGATAAGTCAACTCTGAGCACTAGTTTTACTCTCTGTGGCCTAGAAGTAATAATGTATTTTATTGTTTGCTTCATTATACAACTAATCCTTTAGGTGTGTTTTTCAAATAAGCATCCAGCATTTTAATAGAAATGATTTTTTTCCTATATATATATATCACGGTATCAGGGTCCTCCCGTTGTTCATCGATTTGCTCAAGCGGGCCCAGTAACGTCTCCATCATGAGACTTGTTACTGTGTTTGGCATATTGAATACGTCACGGGGAGCTTGCCAGGCTCTGCTGTGTGGGTGAGATACTCTCTGTAGCTTATCAATTTAACGTAACGGGCTCTCTGAGAGGGGCGGAGGAATCGAACTCGGGTCGGCCATGTTGGCCTCTTGTAAGGCAAATGCCCTACCGCTGTGCTATCGCTCCAGCCCTCTCTCTCTCTATAATATAATATATATATATATATATTTTTTTGCCATACCTGGTCGAAAGCTCAGGACTTACTCCTGGCTCTGTGCTAGGGATTACTTCAGGTGGGCTCAAGGGACCATGCTTAGTGAAGGGTCCTGAACCCGAGTTGGCTGTGTGCAAAGCAAGTGCCCAACCCACTATACTGTCTCTCCAGTCCCAGAAATGATTTTAAAAGCTGAGAAACATGGAATAAAAAAATACAACTAGACTAAAATACTTCATGTGTGAAGCAAGGAAAAATTAGTATAGTAGAAGGAAACTTATAGGATAGATAATGTGGGACTTACATGCTTGTTTCCGTTCAGTGATAAATGTCTATTATATGGTCTGCAAGTAAACTATAGTAACTTAATTACCTTTGTGTCAGATTGGCGTTTGCCTTGCTTGTGGTCGACCTGGCTGACCCTATTTCAGTTCTTCTCGGAGAGCCCCCCTCTTGGAGAGCCCGGCAAGCTACTGAGAGTATCTTACCCGCACGGCAACGCCTGACAAGCTACCTGTGATGTATTCGATATGCCAAACACAGTAATGAGTCTCACAGTGTTCCTGGGCCAGCTCGAGTAAATCGATGAACGACAGGAGAACAGTGACAGTGACTTTTATAACATAAGAATTATTTTACATTTCTCTAAGGATTAATGACTCATCTATAAACTTCTATGGTATTTTCTGTTTGACACTTGAAGCTGATCAGAGTGTATTTTGATTTTTTACAGAAATAATGTTGATATTTGGAACCCATGTCGAACTTCTATGAAGAAAGGGCAACAATGATTGCAGCCAGGGATTTGCAGGAATTTGTTCCTTTTGGTCGAGACCACTGCAAGCACCACCCTAATGCTTTGAACCTTCAACTTCGCCAGCTGCAGCCAGCCTCTGAATTATGGTCGTCTGATGGTGCTGCTGGTTTGGTGGGATCCCTACAGGAGGTTACAATCCATGAGAAACAAAAGGTTCTATTAAGTTCACTGTTCCTTTTTCTGAAGTGCATAGTCATGCAATAGTGGTCTACTTATGACTGAGATTTACCCAGATGTAGCCAAGAAGTCAAAGTGGTTATAATTCTGGGCTTGAGGTTAAGATTGAACTTGGGTAGTGTAAGTCGAGGTGAAAATAATAACTTAATTTTACTATAACTTCATAATAGTTTACTTGGATGTTACCTAGCCTCTGATGAGAGTTAAGTTCAAAACTTTGATTATGGTCTGTTTTTCTGTCTCATCACTTAATGCTTAGGGACTTGAATTCAGAATTCATATTGTTTATTGATTATATGGTAGAATTAGAAATGGGTTCCTAAAAGAAAAAAATGTATACATACAGCTCAGTCAGGAATAACTTTGCAGTTCATAGTGATCCAATAAAAAAAACGGTTTCTTTTGCAAAAGCTTAAATGGTAGCAAGGGAGAAAAGATTTCACCTAAGTAGGTAAGGTAGTAGTTCTTTTTATTTAAATTAAAATTTTAATATTTTTAATTTTATTTAGGCACCCACCACCGCCTTATTGATGTTTTACACATATGTTCAGTTTTAGTCCCTCCAAGCATGTTGGTTTCATTTTTTTTTTGATTGCTAGTTAAGGTAGAATGATAGAGCTGTATAATAGGCAACATTTAATATACATAGAATTCTTGAGTAACTTCATATTTATGAAATTTTTTAAGAGATACAATATATGTACCCACCGATCTCACTTTTTCATCAGTGCCATCAAACATTCTAGCATTTAGATTTAGATGGAGTCTTACTTTCTAGGTAAAAAGAGAGCAGCTTACTTGTGTCTAGATGGTCAATTTAATGAGCGTATCTTGTTCCACACTATTAAAAACAAAAAAGGGAAAAAGAGTGAACATGATTTACATGCATTAATTTTTAAGGAAAGCTGGCAGTTAAGGAAAGGTGTAAGCGAAATTGGAGAAGAAGTGGATTATGATGAAGAACTCTATGTGGCTGGAAATATGGTGATCTGGAGCAAAGGAAGTAAAAGCCAGGCATTGGCGGTGTATAAAGCATTCACAGTTGACAGTCCTGTTCAACAGGTGAGTTCATTTACATTTTAGCATTTGATTAACACTTTTTTTTTTTTTTTGGAGGGATGGAGGGGCTGGATGCTATACCCAGCAGTTCTCAGGACTTACTCCTGACTGCACTCAGGGAACAGTCCTGGCGAGGCTCAGGGGACCATGAGTTGCTGGGAATAGAACCCAGATTGCTTGCATGTGAGGTATGCGCCGTGCCCATAGTATTATTGCTCTGGTTCCTTACCCCTTTTGTCTTTTTTAAAAAGCATCTAAGAGAAGTTTTAAGAATTGAGCAAATACGATAACATAGTATAATGCTCCCAGCAGCTGAGTGTACATTTTAGCATGTAGTAAAGATAATGGTAGGAAAATTAAAATTTCATTACGTTATTATCTTACCCTTTACCAATTTTATGATACTCTTTAAAAGGCTGTTTTCGAGGAATTCAGTTTGCTTTTTATAACGTTTATAGGGTAGTAAAGTTACAAGCGTATTTGAACACATGATATAATTGCAAAAGTAAATATTGGGTTTATAGTAAATGTTGGAGAGAGGAGAAAACCTACTTGCTGTCGTTGTCTTAATTTTTTAATTTAATCAAAAAATTGAATCACTAAGATACACAGTTGCGAAGTTAATGATTTGATTTTATTCATACAATGTTCCAACACTTGTGTACGTTTCTCACCACCAACATCCTCCGTTTTCCTCCTGTTGCCCCACTCCAACCCCTCTCATATTCCTCTATGGCAGACACCTCTCTCTCTCTCTCTCTCTCTCTCCCCCCCCTTCCCCTTCCCCTCTCTCCCTCTCTCTCTCCTTCTCCCTCCCTCCTTCTCTCTCCCTGTCTTTCCCTCTCTCTCCTTCCCTTCTTCTCTCCCTTTCCAGTTCCTCATGTCCTCTTTTAAGTTTTGGGTAGCTTGGTCTTTGTTTCCCATCCCCACCTTTTGTTTTTTTGTCTTCATATTCTCTGACCAGCTGGGATGGACATGGTGGCCCCTACTCCCCATTGTACAGGTCTCCAGGTTCTGTCCTGGGGTAAAGGGGGGGGGACAGCAAATTCTTGGCCTGCATCTGTGATCTATCTTTCCAGCATCTGCTCACAGGTTCTGAGCTTGAGGCAAGCTCAGTCCACAGGCTTCAGGACCATCTGGCAGTCCTTTCCTGAAGAATAGCTGGAGCCTTCATGGGGCTGCCCTGTGGCCACCTGGGTGAGATAATGAGCTGACAGTTCTGCCTCTGTGTTACACCCATGCTATAAAGGCTATTGCCTGCTGGTCTAGGAGCTGCTCATTGTTGTTTTTTTTTATTAAAAAAATTTTTTTTTAAAATTTATAATTCCAAGATCACAGTACTTGCATTCTAAAGAACGGCGCCTATATCCCATTTGATGTCTCTAAGGCACCTAGTCATTCGTTCACCAAGTTATAGGTAGCCATGGTCATTTGGAGTCATCCACAGGGTTTTCTCCTTTTGTGAGATACGAACTCTTGGGCATGGAAGCAGCTGTCTGAGTTTGGGTTTTCTTAAAAGGAAATTGAGATTATTGTAGGACTGGAGTGATAGCACAGCGGATAGGGTGTTTGCCTTGCACACAGCTGACTGAGCCGACCCGAGTTTGATTCCTGTGCCCCTCTTGGAGAGCCTGGCAAGCTACCGAGAGTATCTCACCCGCATGGTGAAGCCTGGCAAGCTACCTGTGAAGTATTCGATATGCCAAACACAGTAACAACAAGTCTCACAATGTTACTGGGCCCGCTCCAGCAAATCAATGAACAACGGGAGGACAGTGACAGTGACAGTAGGTACAGTGTAGAGTTGGACATTCTATATAGGAGTATAGCATTGATGCTTATTTTTCTTTTAAATTTTCATTTCCTAAAATGTCATGAAAACGTCTACAAATCTGTAATGCAGTGACAACAGTCAGTTCAGTCATGGGCAAAGGACTTGAATATTTGGAATTTCTCTAAAGATAGCAGGCAGGCAATACATGAAAAGATGTGTGAATCAATCATATGCAAATCAAAACCACAGTCATTATTAGTCTCTACCTATTAGATTATTAGCAAAATGAGAAGCAACTTGTGTTGGTGGGGATGTTGAAGAACTGGAACTCTGCATAGTTGATGGGAACGTTTGAAAGTACATGGTGAAAAAAACTTCGATTCCTCAAAGAGTCAGACATAGGATTACCAGATAATCCAGCAGTTCTACTCAAAGGTAGTTATTTCCACAAAAAGAATTGGAAGCAGCGACTCAAAGAGATAAATTGGTATTCAGAGCAGCACTCTGAAAAGGTGCAAGCAATCCAAGGTCACTCCTGAGGTCAGTACTCAGCACTGCCTGCCTCCTCCACCTCTCTACCACCCCACAAACTAGAACCTCCCCCCGCCGTACCTGCAGCCTGCATATTCATTTTAGTGCCCCCTATTAAAGGAAAGAAGGGGAAGTATTATTATATATATATTATATATATTATAAAGGTTATTCTTCAGAAAGCATATATAAAATCATTAAGTGGGCCTTTGGTAAGATTATAGAACAGCTCAGCAATTTTCAGCTATTTTGATAATATTTTGCTTTGCATAGGATACAGGATTTAATTGGTTGAACCACAATTTGAGTTCACTTTTGCTTCAAGGCCTTTTTGATCTAGTAGGTTTTGTGATTTTTTTTTTCTCTTCGTTCTTTCTCTGTCCATAAAATTCATTTGCAAATAGAGCATCTTATGTTTTCCATTAACTAGTCTGTTATATGGTCTAATAATCTAGTATGTAGCGTCATTACTTATATACTATTAAATAGGTTATTTCGATATAATTTTCTTTGCTAAGCATTTTGTTTCAATTTTAGGCATTGTGGTGTGACTTCATTATATCAGAGGATAAGTCTGAAAATGCCTATAGTAAGTTTCTTTTTGAAAATGTATTTTGTCCTATAATTCTAAACGTTTATTTTTATTACTTTTTAATTTAAAATAAGTAGACACTAAAAGTAGTGGTTAATTGGTCTCCTAATATTGTATGTTGAAGAATTTATGAAATTAGAAATTGCAGTTTGTGTTTGTTTTTTGTTTTTGAGAAATGTTTGTCTTGTTGTACCCTGTCTTTCCAGGTAGTGATGAAGTAGAAAAATGCATATGTATATTGCAAAGTTCGTGTATTAATATGCATAGCGTAGAAGGAAAAGATTACATAGCTTCTTTGCCTTTTCAGGTAAATTTAAGTGCTTTAATGTTTCTTGTATTTTGTTGGAACATATAATTGATTTCAGAAATACTGCCACTTTCATGTTTTCTAATTATCAAGAACAATACGTTTTGTTTTGTTTTGCTTTGGGGCCACACCTTGTGGTGCTCAGGGTACTCACTCCTGGTTATGCTTGCACTCAGGGATCAGTTCTTACTGGTTAGGAGGGATCATATGGGTTGCCAGGATGGAAACCAGGTTGGCCGTGTGCAAGGAAAGCATCTGACCTGCTGTACTGTCTCTCCAACTCAGTACTTTCACTCAGTTCAGCTAAATTTTTACAGCAGTAGTGACTTACCATATGTCCATTCTTTATATTAAAACTCATTTAATGAAATGAATATAAAATCTTTAGGTAGTTTTTATTTCAGGTTAAATAATAATAAAACCTTTGAAACCTTGAGTTTTACTATTGTTTTTTATGCCTAGTGCTGCTGCTAAAATTTTATCATATTGTCCTTTCAGACTTATATTAGTTCAGATTGAACTCTCGATCCCTTAGATTTAATTTGTTTTAGACTTGCTTATTGCTTGAGGACAAATCATAATGAATGATCATGTTACTTTGGAAAGTGGAAAAAAAAATTTACTCTTACTAAAGTGGAAAAATTCTAATGCCTTCTAATGTTTCTTAAAACTGTGTTTATTTTACTTTTATGTTTTCCTGTCATTTTATCTAATAGGTTGCAAATGTTTGGCCCACCAAATATGGATTATTGTTTGAACGAAGCACTTCTTCACATGATGTACCGCCAGGTCCACCCAGGTACTCACTTTATTTGAATAAATAATACTCAGGCTGTTATTGTTTGGGCTTTTAGGTATTGGTTGCTTACTTAAATTTTTTACCTAGAAGTCTGAGATGGTTGTACTCTATGAGATGGTTCTAACAGCATGGATGCCAGCATTTTCTCTCAACTCATTTTTATGCACTTTAGAGTTCGACTTCTCTTGGTGCTTTGCAGCTTTCCCCCATGAGTGGTAAAATTTAATAAGCTCATTGAAAAGACTCAATTCTTAGTTCTGCCATTTTTTATATGCTACTTTGAACAGATCATTAGTTTTTTTTAATTAGCTTTAATTTCCTTATCTATTACATTGATACTGTCATTACTTATTGGTGGTATGGTTACCTAGATGCGTCAATAATTTGAGAGTTCACTGATGGGCAAAAGCATATAGCGCATATATCATAGTGTGGTTTATGCAGCACATACTAAGTTTTCTGCTTGTTTTTGCTTGTTTCTTGTTTCTGAACTACACCCAGCTGTACTCCGAGCTTACTCCTGGTTCTGTGCTCAGGGATCACTTCTGGTGGGCTTGGGGGAACCGTATGGGATGCTGGGGAATTGAATCTGGGCCCGCCTCATAGAAGGCAGTGTCCAACAAATTGTTCTATTGCATCAGGCCAATAATTTAATTTCTTTTTATATTAGATAGATGGCCTGTGTCTTTCCTTTCAGCATTCCTTAAAAAATACATAGCCATCTTGAGATGTTTTTATTTTAAAAGTGCATGCCTTTGTAAATTGATATAGGAAATTAGCTTTTCTTCTTAGCTTCTATAGGTACACTCTCAGTGAGCATTAAAATTTTTTTTTTTAAAGATTTGTGATTATTTTGGGGGGGTTGGGGTGGGCGTTGGGCCATACCTGGTGGTGTTCAGTACGTATTCCTGGCTCTGCATTCAGGCATTAGTCCTGTCATATCAGGGCACCATATGGAATGCTGGGGATTAAACACAAGTGTGGTTGCTTGCAAGGCAGGTGCCCTGCCTACTGTGTGATTGCTCTAGTACCTGCAATATGTTGTAGATTATGCAGTGAAAATACATGCAGTGAAAACACTAAGTGTTTATTTTTTATTGGCCTTTTTTTGGGCCACACTCAGCCATGCTCAGGGGTTACTCCTGGTTCTGCACTCAGGAATCACTCCTGGCAGTGCTCCGGGAAGCATATGGAATGCCAGGGATGGAACCCAGGTCAGCTGCGTGCAAGACAAATGCCCTACCTGCTGTACTATCACTCCGGCCCCAATATTAAGCATTTAAAACAGTATGAAAGGATGACTTTACTACATTCATTCTGTGTGACAACTGCTTTTATAGATAATCCCTTGACTGTACTGATTTCTGGCTGTGTATATATTCATAGAATCACCCCACATATGATGAGATCTTCTTAGGATTAAAATAGATGGTGGTTGTGAAAAGCAGTTTCTAAGTTTAGAGGGTTTCTTTTTGAGATGGTTGGATTCTAGTTGCTTGTTATTCTGCAGAAGGTTTCTCTTTGTAAAGGAAAGTACCGAATCTGTACACATATGAAGTTATCTTATGATTATTTGTTTTCCCTAGAGAACCTTTACCTACTATGTTCAGCATGCTGCATCCATTAGATGAAATAACCCCACTTGTGTGTAAATCTGGAAGTAAGTGGTTTCTTTCGTTTTGTTTTTTAATCATTTTTTCAATGATGCTTTCTCTTGAGTTTGGAGGGAGCAGGAAATTAGGGAGTTTATGAAAATTTGACTTTTATCACAATATATTGTGTTTTACAGCATAATTTATATATTAAATAAGACACTGAATTTCACAATAGTTGTTTTTCAGAGTTAATCTTAGGAAAAATCCTGACTCTACTTCATTTAGTAATAAATGAATAGTAGTTTAGCTGAATTTAATTTTTTTTTTGGCCACACTGGCATTGCACAGGAGTTACTCATGGCTCTGCACTCATAAATTACTCCTGGTAGTGTTCAGGGGATCATAGGGAGTGCCGGGGATTGAATCTGGGTTTGCTACCTGCAGAGCAAATGCCCTACCTACTGTGCTATCGCTCAGGCCCCCAATTGGGTTTTTTGTTTTTGTTTTTTTGGGTCACACCCAGTGATGCACAGGGGTTATTCCTGGCTCTGCACTCAGGAATTACTCCTGGCGATGCTCAGGGGACCATATGGGATGCTGGGAATCGAACCCGGGTCTGCCGCGTGCAAGGCAAATGCGCTACCCGCTCTGCTATTGCTCCAGCCCCCCGCAATTGTTTTTTAAAAGGAAAACTGTAGTGGCTTGAGCCCATACCTTGTAAATACTTCATTTTTTCCTGTTCATAATAAAATAGCTTCCTAAGAAAAGTTTTAAAAAAATGTTATCTTTAGTGTTTAGTATGTTCCGCAGATATTTCTAGATGCTCGTTTACTTCATAATAAATTTTTTTTGGGGGGGGGGTCACACCTGGTGATGCACAGGGGTTACTCCTGGCTCTGCACTCAGGAATTACGCCTGGTGTTGCTCAGAGGACCATATGGGATGCTGGGAATTGAACCTGGGTCAGCCGCATGCAAGGCAAACGCCCTACCTGCTGTGCTATCGCTCCAGCCCCTCATAATAAATTTTCTTGAGGTCACTTTGCTTTGTAATGAACTTTTCAGTGCACACTTTTATAACTTAACATCTGGAGGTGCTTATTTTAAACATTCACATGTGATTAAGCACGATAACTGTATCACTGTAACACTATCATCCCATTCATTGATTTACTCGAGTGGGTGCCAGTAATGTCTCCATTTGTCCCAACCCTGATATTTTAGCAGCCTCTCTTTACTCGTCTTTCCCAGCGCTGCTGTATTAGGCTCTTTCAGTATCAGGGGAATGAGACCCATTATTGTTATAGTTTTTGGCCTATCGAATACGCCATGGGGAGCTTGCCAGGCTCTGCCGTGCAGGCGGGATACTCTCGGTAGCTTGCTGGGCTCTGTGAGAGATATATATATACATATGTATATATATATATATATATATACACACACACACACACACACATAATATATATATATAAGCGTGATAGATGTCATAAATAGTGAGGAATTAAAGTCTGAGAATGTTTAGTTAAAGAACTAAACCAACATTTTCTTTAGAACACTGTTCCAAGTACATATTCTGACGTACAGCCTATGTTTTCATCTGTGTCAGGTTTTGGGAAGCTGGAGCCCAGGTGCACAGTGTAGCCAACTGCCTGTTTTTTCAAGTGTTCTGAACAAAGGCTTTTATTTTTTTTTCAAGGATTGTAGGAAAAAAAGGTCATAGTCAGTATGGTCCACAAAGTCATAACTATTTCCTCTTTGACTTTGTTGATGGTTCTGTTTTGGTAAAATCTTGCAGGCACTTGAATCAGCATTAAATATAAAAACATGGTATTCAGCTATTTTTTGATCATGTTTTTGCCTATTTAATGACTTCAGGAATTGCTTACCCATGATTTTAAGATATAAAGCTAAGTATAGTATGATTCTAATTTTATCAAAACCTAAAATGTTTGTATAGTAATGAAAAAAGAACTGGAATTAAAATATCATGTTTGTACTCTATGTTGAGGTGGAATTATGAGTAATTTTAACTGATAAATTTTTTCTTTGGAGGGGGAGGAGCTGGGCAATACCCAGCAGTGTTCAAGGCTTACTCCTGGTTCTGCTCAGGGATCACTTTGGTGAGGCTCAGGGAACTGTATGTGGTGCTGGAGATTGAGCCTTGGTCAGTTGTATGCAAGGCATGTGCCCTGCATGCTGTTCTGTCTTTTTGTCCCTTTCACTACTTGGGCAAGACATGTTACTGCTTTGTACTATTTAAACTGAGGGGGAAACATAACGTAGTACCATCAAATAAGGTCTTAAAGGTTAAGTTCTTATGCTATGAAAAAGTTATAACCCCTTTGGAAGAGATTTAGTTTGCATGCGTCATCTGAGATGCATAATAGTGTTTTGTGAAGCTCTGTTCAAATAGTTATCAAAGAAGGCAGATTTTGTAATCAAATTTTGCAGAATGGTTGATTGCAATTTATTAGTATGTCAGTTTTTGAAGGAGTCATGACTTCTTTTGCTTATAACTGGTGAATATAATGGGGGAATCAGCACAACTCTTCAGCACTGCCCTGAGTAATCTCTGAGTACCACCAAGATTTAACCCTAAACCCAAAAACCAATCAGAACAGAACAAGTAAGTTTGTAATATATTATTGGATTTTTTTCTTTAAAACTGGTTTAGTTTCTCTTTGTCTTTAGGAATTGTAAGAAGTTACCTCATTAAGAATAGTTTTGTGAAGTCCTTTGTTTTATATATACCTGATCATCTTTTTTTTTCTCTTTAAGGTCTTTTTGGTTCATCTCGGGTACAATATGTTGTAGATCATGCAATGAAAATAGTTTTTCTCAGTACCGACCCTTCCATTATAATGACCTATGACACTGTTCAAAGTTTGCATTCAGTCTGGACACTCCGTAGAGTCCGAACCGAGGTAAGGGGGACGCCAAGTGACTACTTAGTCTGCGAGGCTCGGCCATTCTCAATGATTGGGAGTAATTTTTAAACTATTATTGGTGAAATAGAGCTTCTTAGGAAACAAAAAATGCTGTCTGTGTATTGCATAACTGGTGCTCCCTCTGCATTTTCACCAAGAAACTGCCTTTCTTTCAAATTAACAGTTTTGGGGGAGGCTCTTAAGTGGTACTCAGAGATCTTCAGGCTGTTCCTGGTGAAGACTTAGCCAGTTGTGCAGGCCTGATGGCTTAGTATTTGGGCCTGGTGATGCAGTGCTGCTCAGGGAAGCAGTGCCAGAGGTCACAATGGCCCCACCCTGTTGTGCTGGAGGTTCATTGGGGTGATAGCTAGTGACCTTCAGGGGACTAGGCAATGTCCCAAGTGGAACTTGGAGCCTCAAGCCTGCAAGACCCAAGCTGCAGCCTTTTGCACTATTTCTCCAGCTCTGGAGATGGCCCTTTTAATCTAATTGCTCTCTTTTCTCCTCTTTCTGTTCCTTTTGACTTAAGGAAGAGAACGTTGTTTTGAAGTTCTCAGAACAGGGGGGAACCCCACAGCACGTGGCCACCAGCAGCTCCCTCACGGCACATCTTAGAAGCCTTTCCAAAGGAGAGTCCCCTGTTACGTCCCCCTTTCAGAATTACTCCTCCATTCACAGCCAGAGTCGCTCGGCCTCATCACCCAGTCTACACTCACGATCACCTTCTATTTCCAACATGGCAGCTCTAAGGTGAGAGTTAAATGTGAATGTGATTGTTTTTCTTGTTTCAAATAAGATAGCTCAAGGAAAAGACATCCTTTTAAACCTTCTCTTCTGTATTGAAGACATTGAAAGTTTTGTTTTCAACTCAGTTTTCTTTTCTTTTTTCTTTGTTTTTAATCGGAAAATAGGCATTATCATGGTTCTGCTGTTGAAAGTGTTATAGGCATTTTTTGAATAATGTCAGCAACTCCTTTCCAGAGGCAGAAAATGAACTTAATTCAGTGTTGGGAAAAGTATTTCTTCTTTTTTATTTTATTTTTTTGGCGTTTTGGGTCATACCCGGCGATGCACAGGGGTGACTCCTGGCTCATACACTCAGGAATCATCCTGGCAGTGCTTGGGGGACCATATGGATGCTGGGAATCGAACCTGGGTCGGCTGCGTGCAAGGCAAATGCCCTACCCGCTGTGCTATCACTCCAGCCCCGGGGAAAATATTTCTAACAAAATCTTTAGAATTTATTAAAGTATGATAATGCAAACCTTTTCTAATAGCTGGTCTTTAAAAATAAAGTTGTATTTTTGACAGATTATTCCACAAATAATGTCTATTTAGAATTTTGGTAGTTGTCACTAAAATATGTCTTATGTCATCTTGGCTTGTGAATCTGACCCAGTCTCTGTCTTGTTTCTTTTGCAGCCGTGCCCATTCGCCTGCCTTGGGAGTGCACTCTTTTTCAGGAGTGCAGAGATTCAACCTTTCAAGCCATAATCAGTCTCCAAAGAGACAGAGTGTATCTCATTCTCCAAGTAGTAATTCTAATAGTTCCTTTCTTGCACCAGAGACAGAACCGATTGTTCCTGAACTTTGTATTGATCATTTATGGACAGAGTCGATTACTAATACAAGGTTTGGAGTATGTATTTTTATATTCAAAGAAAAATGTTGCCAAAAGTTGTAGGAAGCACTTATTATTGTTGCCTAAAAGTTTCTGTTTCGTATAACATGTTATTAGTATTTATAAAAGTACTGTGATATAAATTAAGGCCATGCTGGGTTTAGTAGTCCATGTTAAATTGATCAGAAAAATACCCTCTTTTCATTGGCTATTACTTCCATAATGGTGAAACATCTCTCAGATGTCAGATGTTGATATTTTATGGGGAAATAATTTATATGATTTGGGAACTTGAAATTTATACTTTTTATTTTTTTTTTTTGCTTTTTGGGTCACACCTGGTGATGCACAGGTGCTACTTCTGGCTCTGCACTCAGGAATTACTCCTTGCGGTGCTCAGGGAACCATATGGGATGCTGGGAATCGAACCCGGGTCCGCCGCGTGCAAGGCAAACGCCCTACCCGCTGTACTATCTATCACTCCAGCCCTATACATTTGATTCTTAAGTTTTATCTTTATGTTAGTTGAATATCAGCTGGAAATGTCAGCTCTGTTTTCTTCTGGGGAACACAGCTCTATTCTGTGTGACCTTCTTTTTATGTTCTCTTTAATAATTCATCCATTCATTCATTGCCAATCATTGTTCGGTGCTGTGAGTGACAGACCACTAAGTCAGTAATCTTCAGAAATAAGTTGAAGGCTGGTGAACTGAATGTATTATCCACTTTAGGGCTTTAGAAAGGTATATAGGTTTTTGCCGGTTGATTAGTTGGGAAGGGTGCAGGAGTTAGGGAGAATCAGGGAAAGTTTAGAAATGTGAATGTACAGCTAGAGTGATAGTAGAGTGGGTTGGGAATTTGCCTTGCACGTGGTTAACCCAGGTTCAATCCCTGGCATTCCATATAGTCCCCGAGCACTGCCAGGAGTGATTCCTGAGTGTGGAGCTAGGAGCAGCCCTGCACATCGCTGGGTGTGACCTAAAAAAGTCAGGAAAAAAAAAATGAGGGTGTAGGTATTATTAGAAACTTACAGGTATCTCACTTTGGGCACAGAGGCAGGAAGAGGACTGGGAAGGAGGTGGGCTGGGACAGATTGCCCTTTGGGGCTCTTGTCTCTGATAGGCTCTCTCACAGGTTCTTATAGGTCACTAAACATGGGGAAATTGCGGGGCAGTGAAGTGGGACTGTTGTTGGTGCCCATGTGGTGACTGAGGTAAGAGAGGTGCATGGAAATTTAAGGAGCATCAGATTCTGGTGACCCTTTGAACTATGTACAGAAGTCATGGATAAGTCTTCATAGAGACCCTGGGAGAGGCTTATAACATTCATTGGATTCTTTGAGAGATTCATAACCTCCAGGTAGTTACAAATTTAGTTGTCAGTGGGGCCGGGGCAATAGTATAGTGGGGAGGGCACTTACCTTGCACACAGTTTACCCGGGCTTGATCCAGGCATCACATACGGTCCCTCAGTCCCACCAGGAGTGATTCCTGAGTGCAGAGAGAGGAGTAAGCCTGAGCATTGCCTGATGTGGCCCCAAAACAAAACACGCACACACACATACACACACACTCACAATCTGTGATATAGAGTTAGAAGAGGGCTAGGGACTAAATCCTAGAAACAAGAGACAAAGGTACTATAGAGAGATGAAACGCAATATAGCAGGTGAGAGAAGCAGAAAAATATGTATTATGGCAGAGAGGAAAAGAGTCTTTGAGGCAAACTGAGAGGTGAGCTGACAGGCAGGCAGTACTGGTTGGCCCCAAGTTCACTGTTGGCGTTATCAGGGCACTTGTGAGGTGATGTCCAGACAGTGGGATAGGGTGGTAGAGGTGTGTGTGTGTCTGAGAGGTGAATGTAGACAGAGCAAACACCCTATCCACAGATGGTGCATCTTGAGGAGTCAGCCTTAGAATGGGGAGGACACAGGCCTGGCTAGGGGGCTTCTCTGGGTAAGAGAGAATTTTGTTGTTGCATTATATTAAAGAAAATGAGTTTTCATTTTCTGACCTCAGAACCTCATTGTGTCTGTTAAAAAGTTAGGACATGTTTTATCTAACAACAGCACCTTTTTCATACCCAACCAACTTAGCAAGTGCTTTATATGTTTAGTCTCTCATAACTATAAAAATATGTGTATATATATATCTGGACATATATATGCACACACATATATACACATATATATGGTTTTCTTTTTCTTTTTTTGTATTATGCAACTTTTTTACACGCAATGGGCACACAGAGCTACTCCATTTCTGTAGGACATTTACAGAGTCTCTCATTTTAAGAGTTAGGTTTATTGAGCAGGTTTTTGTTTTGTTTTTGGCTGTGCTTAGGTTTTACCCCTGGTTCTGTGCTCAGGGATCACTCCTGGCAGTGCTGAGGGCACCATATGGGATGCTGGGGATCACACTGGGGTATGCCAAGTGCAAGACAAGCACTTCAACACCTGTGCTCTATGGCCCAAGACTTTTTATTTGATTCATTTTTTTTTTATTCTTTTGGTTTTTGGAGGCATACCTGATGGTGCTGAGGGTTTTTCTATTGGCTCAACACTCAGGCATCATCCATGATGCTGGGAAATGATCCTGGGTCAGCCACGTGCAAGGAAAGCTCCCTTACCTGCTGTACTTGGGCCCCAAGACTTTTGTTTTAATGTGAGAGAATATCCGAAAGGATGGAAGCATTGAAAATACAGGAAAGAGGATATTGACTGAACAAGGGGAAAAAAAGGAGCATAGATGGAGAGACTAGTCATTGGGAGAGTAGTTGATGGTTATCTGATAGATGCTTAACAGGCTTGTTTTCTCTGAAATAGAACAATACTAGTCGTAGACTGGGGGGTTGGGCAGAGGGATTAAGGAAAGTAGAGTTGTGAGTTGAAGGAGAATTCACTTTTATCACCCCTCAAATATAAAATTCCTACATTTAGTGACCCGGAATGTGACTTAATGGTAAGAGCGCGTTTGTGAAATGAAAGCTGCATTCAGGAAACCTAGGTTTGGTTCTGGCACTGCAGTTAAAAATAAGTCTTTGAATTCTTTGTTGGTGGGTAAATATATTGCATATCCTTATTTTACAGAATTACATCCCTAAGGTAAAGGGAGGGCCTTTACCTTACCTTTACCTATCCTTATTTTACAGAATTACCTGTTTTTTTTATTGTGGGGATGCTGCCCAGCAGCCTTGGTGCTTGGGTGGTAGTGGTGGTGGGGTTGGGGCACCCAGTGAAGGAGATTGAACTCAGGGTCTTACAGCTGTGTACTCTAGTTCTTTGCACTGTCTTGCCGGCCCCAGAAATGCCGTCTTATTTCCTAGTCTAGAAAAAAAAAAGTGATTGGGAATTAGAGACAGGGTTTGAAAAAGGGATGAAGTAGAGCTGAGAGAGGGAGAGAGGATAGATTGGAGAAATCATAAATTGTGACCCATAAGGCCTTTAAAGGAGAAGAATTCAATTTTGAAGTAGGTGACATACAATATGGATTAAAAAGTCCATTAATGATGACAAATATATTGTAATCAGTCCTCCCAAAAGCCATGTATTGGGCTCAGAATCAAGGAACTTAAAGGAGTTTTAGAGATCATGGAGCTCAAAAATTTGATGTGTTTTTAATTCAGGTTAGGGCTTGGCCCATGTAGCTTTTCAGATTTCTTGCAGAATATTTTTGAAGACTTTTACAGGTATCATGATAGATTTTTGAACCAATGCTAACAGTTTCTTTATCTGTTGCAGAGAGAAAAATTCACAAGCCTCTAAGGTATTCATAACATCTGACTTATGTGGGCAGAAGTTCTTGTGCTTTTTGGTAGAGTCTCAGCTCCAGTTACGGTGAGTGTATTTCCCATTGATTCTGTGTAAATAAAAAAACCTGGGGCTGCTTTTTGTGGGGAGAGGAGAACAGGGTGGGTTGGTAGCAGTGGTGGTCTTAAGTAATTTTGTTAAAAAAAAAACCCTTCATCTGGTAAAATGGACATATTTTAAGTGTGCAGTTGAGTGTTTTTCTAATAGTTATTCACCCAGCATCACAGTCCAGTTTTAACATAATTTCTATCACCTGGAAAGATCCTTTGTATTTGATATTCAGTCAATTTCTTTCCTTTCTGAATCTTAGCAGTCATTGCATAGATTTTCCACCTTTTCTGGAATTTCCAGAATCAGACAATACCTACTCTGTGTCTAACTTGTTTCAGGTAGCACTGTTTCTTTTTTTTAGAATCCACTCTATTAGAACATGTATGAATACTTTGTTCATCTGGCTGCATTGTAATCCATTGCTGTGACATGTTGCATTTTGTTTATCCAGGCATTAGTTGACATTCTGCTTGTTTCCACTTTTTGATCATAAAATAAGAGTATTATATGAAAATTGAAATGGAGGTCTTTGTTGATTAATTTTGTTTGTTTTTGTTTTGGTAGCACACATAGTAGTGCTCAGGGCTAATTCCTGCCTTGGCCTAGGGATCACTCCTAGCTGTGCTCGGGATCAAACTATGGTTGGCTACAAGCCCAGCAAGTACCTTACCTCCACACTGACTCTGGCCTAACAGAATTTTCTTTTTCTTCTTTTTTTTTTTTTGCTTTTTGGGTCACACCCGGCGATGCACAGGGGTTACTCTTGGCTCTGCACTCAGGAGTTAATCCTGGCGGTGCTCAGGGGACCATATGGGATACTGGGAATCGAACCCAGGTTGGCTGCATGCAAGGCAAACAGCTGCCCACTGTGCTATCTCTCCAGCCCCTTAACAGGATTTTCATATTGGAAAAATATATGGGAGTGACGTTATTGAATCAAATGTCAAACTTGCATAGATAAACCAAACTTTGATATAGACTGGCCTCCAGCAGTGTTTGGGGGTTCCAGTTTCTCCACCTTTGACAACTTGGAGATTGTCACTCTGTAGTCATTCTCTGGATGTTCTCTGGCTTTTATTTGCTTTAGAACAAAATGTTGAGCATCAGCTCTTGTGCTTTGCCTTCTTTGATGAAACTCATACTCAGGACTTTTGTCCATTCATTTATCTTATCTTTTTATTTTAAAAATCATAGGGAATTTCAAAATTCGAAATCATAGGGAACTGTAAAATAGAAGAGGGGTTCTGTGTACCCAGCACTCTCTTTCTAGAGGTAATTCCTTCCATTAGTAGCACTGTAGCACTGTCCTCCCATAGTTCATCGATTTGCTCGAATGGGCACCAGTAACGTCTCCATTGTGAGACTTGTTACTGTTTTTGGCATATCGAATATGTCACAGGGAGCTTGCCAGGCTCTGCCATGAGGGTGGGATACACTTGGTAGCTTGCTGGGCTCTCCAAGAGGGATGGAGGAATCAAACCCGGGTCGGTTGTGTGCAAGGCAAATGCCCTACCCGCTGTGCTGTCACTCCACCCTTCCATAAGTACAGACATTATTCAGACATTATTCAAGAAGGAAATAACAGTACTATTTCTAGACCTTAAACTTGAAATTTTTGTGCAATTTTTGTTTTATTCACAGTTATGAACCTTACACGTTTTATCACTTTCACATTTACTTGCTTGTGCATGTGCTTATGATCCCAGGAAGTTTCTCTTTGTGTGCTAATTTATGCAGACGCCGCAATCAAAATACAAAACTTTCTTACTACCTCAAAAATCTTCTTTATGCTTTTGTGTGTGTGTGTGTGTGTGTGTGTGTGTGTGTGTTTGGGTTTTATTTTGTTTTTGGGTCACACCCAACAACAGTGCTCAGGACTTGTTCCTGGCGTAGTTTCAGGGACCATATGGGATACTGAGGATTGAACTCAGGTCAGCCATGAGCAAGGCAGCTGATCTGCCCAGTGTGCTGTTGCTCTAGTCCTGCTTTTTTGTGCTCTTGTAGTCTGTTTTACCCTTGTATCTAAGCTCTGCCAACCACTAATATGTTCTCTGACTCTTTTTGTTTTATTATTTGGAAGGGTTACCTAAATGAAATTATAATGTCTATAATATTTATAGACTGGCTCATTTTTCAGTCACCATAATATCCTTGAGATTAGTGTAGGTTGTTACATGGAGCAATAGTTTTTTTTTTTTTATTTTACTCTCTAGATGTGTAAAGTTTCAAGAGAGTAATGATAACACCCAGCTTATCTTTGGCTCTGTCACCAACATCCAGGCAAAGGATGCGGCGCCCGTGGAGGTAAGTGCAGACACATTTCTTGAGAAGTTGAAAACCTTGAGGTTTCATAACTTGCACACATTGGAAAATGATTATTGATATCTTTTTTTTTTGAAGATAGACACCATGCTGGTCCTAGAAGGCAGTGGCAACCTGGTGCTTTATACAGGAGTAGTCCGGGTAAGTGATGCAGTTAAGACTTTTCCTAAGGCTTCTGCCTTCGTTTTAATTTATTTTTGTTTTGTGGTGCTGGGGTCAAACCCAGGGAGTCCTCCTTGCCAAATATGTACTCTGTCATTGAATTTCATCCCTGGCAATCCTTAAGATTTTTAATGTTACTTTAGCTTTGTATCTAAAATGTATTACCTTCTGGGGCCATGGTGCTAGCTCAAAGAGCTATGAGTACTTTTCTTGCATTCCCTGACCTTGAATTGGATCCCCAGCTCTGCATGGCACCTGGAGTACTGCTGGCTGTGTCTCTGGTGGCCCCCTGGCATTGCAGCTCTGCATTTTCATGCCAAGCCCTGAACTGCAACATGCAGAGCTAGATTGAGTAACAGAAGGTGAAGCCTTGGTATCCCTGAGCACTGCTTAGGGATCCCCTCCCACTGTCAAACCACACTCTCTACTCACTTTGTTATCTCCTGCCAGTAGCAGTTGCTAGAACTTTTTTTTTTTTTTGATAAGAGCTGAAAATGCAGTCTAGGTTAGGTTGGTCCTAATTTGTTCAGGTTGGTTCTAATTTGGAAGCTTAGGATTCATTGCCATTAGATAGAATGGAACTCAGCTCAGATGGGAAATTTTCTTTTTTTTTTCTTTTCCCTTTTTTTTTTGCTTCTTGGGTCACACCCGGCAATGCACAGGGGTTACTCCTGGTTCATGCACTCAGGTATTACTCCTGGCAGTGCTCGGGGGACCATATGGGATGCTGGGAATTGAACCCGGGTTGGACGTGTGCAAGGCAAAGGCCCTACCTGCTGTGCCATTGCTCCAGCCCCGGGAATTTTCTTTTTTTGATTTTTGGGCCATACCTGGTGGTACTTAGGGAAACTCTTGGCTCTGCACTCAAGAATTACTCTTGGCTGTGCTTGGAGGACCTGGGTTGGCCGTGTGCAAAGCCAGAGCTCTACCTGCTGTACTGCCTTACTGCTGTGGCCTATATGGGGGAACTTTTAATGGAGCATAGGGAGGTTGAAAAAAGTTAACAGCTTTCCTCGAGAAGTGGTTTTGAAATTGATAGGTGGGTAGTCTTGTTAAATCCTAGAGTTTTTATATATTTTCATTACGTTCTGTGTATAATATGTATGACAGTTTTTAAATTTTTATTTTATTTAATATTTTTTTGTTTTTTTGGCCACCGCGGGTTGTGCTCAGGGCTTATTACCGGCTCTGTGCTCAGAGATCATTTCTGGCTCAGGCCAAATGGGGTGCTGGGGATTGAACCCGGGTTTACTGTTTATAAGGCAAATCCCTACCTCCTGTACTGTCACTCCAGCGTATATTTGACAGGTTTTCATATTTATTTTTTTTTAATGCTAGATTCTCTTATTTTTACAAAACATTGAGATCTTTTTGTTAATAATAGCACATAATTCCAACACTATATGACCTGGAGGTTTTTAATAGCTTTGATGAAAACTTAATGTATTGAGACCAGAAAGATAGTATTGTGGGTGAGGCACTTGCTTTGCATAGCTAACCTGTGTTAGATTCCTGGCACTACATACGATCCACTGAGCCTTACCAGGACTGATCCCTGACTACAGAGCCAGGTGTAAACCCTGATGACCACCGGGTGTGGCCCCAAAACAAAAACAAACAAACCAAAACAAAATCCTGACAGACTCATGTGCTTTTCTTCAACTGCCAGCAGCCCGTCCAGCAATGCTTGGGGCTTAATTCTGACTCCGCACTCAGGAGTTACTCCTGTCTGTTCTGGGGGACTATATGGGATGCTGGGATCAAACCCTGGTTCACCATGTGCAAGGCAAACACCCTACTCACCGCACTATCTCTCCACCCCTAATGAGAATTTAAAAAAATTAGTTTTTTTAAAAACAATTGAGGCATAATTTAGTGATTTATAAAATTATTCCTAGTTAAATTTCAGGTATACAATTTTACCAATCCTGTCGACAGTGTCAACTTTCCTCCAACAAAGCCCCCCTTCCCTTCTAGTTCCCCATATAAGAATCTTTTTCTGAGAAGAATCCTATGGATAGCTAACATAGGAGGTGGTTAATCTGAATGCCGTCAGCTCATTCTTTTAACATCATTGGAGAGTTTACATGGAATTTTTTTAAAGAAATATTTGAGAGAGTTTTTGATAAATATTTGAGATGTATTTGAGATTGTGAGCTAGTGAGCAGAACTTGAAATAGGTTGGATTTAATTTCTCAAACATAGTCTGCCTCATTTTTGTAGTCACTCAGAAGTAATTGATGTCCTTTTCCTTTGCCTGGAGACTTGGGTGTCAGAATTGTTGCTTATAGTCCCTGAACTCTTCAGTGGTAAAGATAGTGTCCCTGCTATCTATACTGCCAATAAGGTAGAAAAATTCATTGCACCCAGAGTTTTGTATAATGTCTTGCCTGTGGTAATAATCTCCTTTTCCTTCCCCCTGCCTTCAAACTCCTTATGTATCTGGAACAATGATGTTTGTAGCTGGATGATGTTGGATGTTGACTTTGTTGGTCTTTGGGCTACTCCTATTAATGCTTAGGCTCCTCTCTTCTTGGTGCTGGGGTGTGCTCCCTAAGTTCCTGCATGAGAGGGAGTTGTCTTTCTCAACCCCCCTCACCCTGGGGGGTGGAAAAAAGGAATAGGGGAGAGAGAACAGAGGTTAAGGCATTGCATGCATCTCTGTCATACATCCCATCTCAGTGACCTCAGAACCATTACATCTCCTGGTTCAGTCCCTGGCACCACAGAGTCCTTCTGTACCACCAGGTGCAGCTCTGGCTATAACCTGTGTAACCCCCAGTCCATGCTTTGACCCTGTGGTCTGATTGACTGAGATTTCATCGATGGGGGCGCGGGGTGCCTTTGAAGAATATGCCACAGTAAGAGCAGTCATTCTCCCTCTTTCCCCCTCTATTGGTTTTTGCTTACAGGTGGGAAAGGTTTTTATCCCTGGCTTGCCAACTCCTTCCCTGACCATGTCGAACACAATGCCGAGGCCAAGCACGCCGCTTGATGGCATTGGTACTCCGAAGCCTATTAGCAAACTACTTGGATCCTTGGATGAGGTGAGTTACAGAGTCAGTGTTGTTGAAAATGAATCATGTTTTCAAGGAGTTGGGTTCAATGGTGGTTCCTTCTGTTGTAAAATGGTAGAATTGGAACCTGGTGCAAATACTTGTAGACATGTTTCAGACAATTGTCCCTTAGTAAGGCTGGTGTTGGCACTTTTATCGGATAATGTCCAGACCTGAATTCTATTTATTTATTTTTTGATTTTTGGGTCACAGGGGTTACTGTTTGGATGCACAGGGGTTACTCCTGGCTCTGCACTCAGGAATTATTCCTGAAAGTGCTCGGGGGACCATATGGGATGCTGGGAATCGAAACTGGGTGTGCTGCGTGCAAGGCAAATGCCCTACCCACTGTGCTATTGCTTCAGCTCTCTGAATTTAGTTTTAAAATACATGAGTTCTTTCCCATTTGCTGAACTTTGAAAAGGTGTGCTAGAAGAGTACTTGAGGTTTATGTGACATGGGGGTACTTCTTTTATAAATAAAATGGTTCTCCGCTTCCTGAGAGCTCAATGAGTGCGGGGGTGGCTGGTATTGGACTGTGCTAGGTGGAAGTTCATAGGGACATTGTAGACTAATGTGGCCATTGCCATCCACTGTGATAGATTGCAGCTGAGCTGTAGGAGCAGTGGAGAACAGTTTCCCTAGACAGCTGTTGGAGGGAAGCTGGTTTGGGATAATGATGACATCTCATGTTTGCTTGACTTCCACTGCTGACAAGACATTTACTTGGACTTGTCCTAGAAATTGAATTGATGGGAATACAGAGAGAATTGGTGGTCATGATTAGGTTTAAAATGGGAACCATCTGCATGTAAGTAGTAATTATGATCATGTAGAATTTTTGTGAATCTACAGTTGAGCAAATATGTATATGCATTTTAGGGAAAACATCTGCCTCAATGGGAAATGTCAGCACAGCGGGTAGGGCATTTGCCTTGCATGCAGCCAACATGGCCGACCCAAGTTCAATTCCTCTGCCCCTCTTGGAGAGCCCGGCAAGATACTGAGAGTATCTCGCCCGCATGGCAAAGCCTGGCAAGCTACCCGCGACGTATTCGATATGCCAAACACAGTAACAACAAGTCTCACAATGGAGATGTTACTGGGCCCGCTCGAGAAAATCGATGAACAACGGGACAACAGTGACAGTGACAATTTTAAAAACATGTCATAGAGGGCTGGAGCAATAGTATAGCGGATAAAGCACTTGCTTTATATTTTGTTGATCTGGGTTCAATCCCTGCCCATATGGTCCCCCAAGCCCTACCAGTAGTGATCACTGAGCATAGAGCCAGGAGTAAGCCTTGAACACTGCCCAGTGTGACTCCAGAACCAAACCAACCGAATCCCCCAAGCCCCCAAAATTGTCATTCCAGGCACATGTTTACAAGAGGATTAACTTTCATGGTTTTGATTATCAAATTCCTGCACCTTCACTACCACCCTCCACACTGTCCCGTGTCACCTCCAGTCACCCCTGCATCTCATTTTTTTGCTTCTCCTATCCTTCCTTGTATGTGCCCTGACCATTCCAGAGTCATCAGGACCATATGACTGTGATGACCTTGGCCACTTCAAAGGACAATTTTTCTCTCTAGCCTTGTGAGAAGCCCAGCGTGTTGCTCTTGCTCTAACCACAGTTTTCCTTGGACATTCCCAGTTGACATATATTCCTATGTGTTCCTTCATCTCCTGCCCCTACCCCTCATCCCCTCACCAAATCTCCCCTGCAAATGTCCAAAGCAGGAAAAAGCGTGAGGCACTGGGGCCACTTGCCTCTGTATCCCTTTTCTCTCTTATCTTTTGGATCCCTCAGGTTCTCTCGTACCATTCATCACATTTTTGTCCCGCTTTTCCTGGTTGGTTCTGGTGAGGATCTGGCCTGCTAGCTACTTCATTATACCTAGAGCAGAGAGAGATTTTAGACTGCTCTGTACAATTGTTAGACTGTTGGCAAGAAATCAATTGTTAAAGTTCCTTTATTCTCAACTTCTCAAAGAGTACTTGATATGTGTGGTATTAATTCCTTTTTATAGGTGGTTCTGTTGTCTCCAGTTCCAGAACTACGGGATTCTTCAAAACTTCATGATTCTCTCTATAATGAGGATTGTACTTTCCAGCAGCTTGGAACTTATATTCATTCTATAAGAGATCCTGTCCATAATAGAGTAACTCTGGTAAGTGTATTTATTTTTCAAGGATTCTTTTATGAGGGTTGGGTGTTCTTGTGACTGGGGATTGACCCCTGGTTCCTTATGACCTTCTGAGCATTGCTGGGTGTAGCCATGGATGAGCATGCGTGGGTGTAGCCCTGACAGACAAGGAAATGAAGCAATAGACTATTTTGGAAAAGATAGGTTTCAGAGAAATGTATCTGTCATTTTAGATTTAGGGTGCAGAATTTTCTTTGTAAAGTGAAAAATTGTTTTTTATGATCTTAAAGTTTTCTTATGTCATCTTATGTAGTGTTTTACTTTATACTTCTGTTTAGTTAAAAAAATTTACAGTTATTAAGCTCATTTTGAAAATGAAGCTTGTCCCATTAAATTGTATTTTGACATGCCATTTTGTTCTTCATTGAAAATAAGTTTCTTTTCAGTAACTGTTAGTATCTAAGATTGAGGCATTTTATTAAAACAAGAACTTTTGTAAGTGATTTACAGATAAGCACGTTTTGGTTTCTGAAATTTGGAAGTATTTGGTTTTGCTTGAAAAGTACTTTTCACTTTTGAATTTTGCTCTGACAGGCAAAGTCTTGAAAGCATCAGCTAATTCTAAGATATTTCAACTTTTTAACATATGGCAGATTCTTCTTGTCTTAATTTGTTTCCTTCCTTTTCACTAGGAACTGAGCAATGGCTCCATGGTTAGAATTACCATTCCTGAAATTGCCACCTCTGAATTAGGTATGATGAAAAAGATCAGACTTGACTTCTGAGTATTTTCAATTCTGTTGATAAAATTTAGAGTGGTTGATGGCTTACACTAATAATTGGGGTAGTAAAGGCAGTATTTGCAGTTTTTGAAAAGGGGGTTTTTGCTTACAGAGAAGCTGTGAGCCCTGGGAACCTTGAGCTGTCCTATCTATTAGCTTCAAGGCTGGCTCCCCTTCAAGTTTGTACTGGCTCTGTTGCTTTGAGATTTCTCACGTGTACAACATAATCACATTATGTGTAATAGATGTGTTTCCTCTAAGAGAAAAAACCTAAGCAACTAGTTTTGGCATATCTGATCATTTTTAATCTTAAATCTCTCCATTTCAGAGAAATGGAGAAATTTTTAAAATTGCTGTAACTGATTAAAACTAAGTATTATAGTCAAAATTCAGTCATGTGTTTGGCTGAAACTAGAGTGTTTTAATTGGTGTAATTTGGAAAACACTAGTGGAGTGGGCTGGAGGAATTATAGTGCTTGCCTTGTACATACATGACTCACCCTGGTGCAGTGCTGGGCACCTGGTTCCATCTTGGGTCGCTGGAATCACCAGATGTAAGCCCTGAGAACTGCACATCTGGCCACAACCCCAATACTAGTGCAGCATGTCTCACTAAGCATAAAATATAAAGGAGAGGCTGGAGCAATAGTACAATGGGTCAGGTGTTTGCCTTGTACGAGGCCAACCTGGGTTTGATTCCCAGCATCCCATATGGTCCCCTGCGCACCACCAGGAGTAATTCCTGAGTGCAGAGCCAGAAGTAACCCCTGTGTATTGCTGGGTGGCCCAAAAGGGGGGGGGGGGGTTGTGTGTGTGTGTGTGTGTGTGTGTGTGTGTGTGTGTATGAAACTTTTAGGATGTAAAGAATTTATAGCAAATAAAAGCCAAGAAAGAATGCCTACATGATCTTAGAACATATGAGTTTCAAAGTCTAGGCACTGGAAATTTGTGTGGTTCCTGGAACCTGGCAAATATGCTAAATGACTTTTATTTTAGGGTATGAGTAATTGATGTGGTAAATAATGTTCTGAATTGGCATGGGGATACCTTACTTCTCTAAAAGGCTATTAATTGCCAGGCTCTGTATCTGGAGGTAGAAGCCTAAATAAAACATATTAAAAAAATGGATTAAGTAAGATAATTAGAAGCAAAATGGGATCTTATTCTCACAGTAAGATAGATGCCACTTAGTTTGTGGATGTTCTGTGTGAAGGCTGCCTTACTCTCTTAGTAAAATCTGATTGATACTTATTTTGGATTCATCCATGACAGACTTGGTTATTTGGATTTCTGACCTTTATTGACCTTTATTTCATATTCTGACCTTTATTCTAAGTGCTATCCAACATTTGCTATCTGTGCATATATAGCAGATAGTTGAGGGAAGAAAATCTAGGCTTCTGAGGAAGGATTTCTCTAAACAGAAGAGAAGAAAATTAAAAAACAAAAAAAAAACCTCTGTGGTCCTAGACCCTGTGGCTTTTAGAGCAGACCTCTCTTTTCATAATAGTAGCTCACACCCGTGAGGGAGGTTCCAAGGACAGGTAGCAACACAACTGATAATTCATATTAATGACAGTGAGTCAGAAAGGTATAAGTTAAGCAGTTTTGATTTGGATCCATTTAAGTCAAAGAACATCTTGAACATCTTAGAAATGTAATGTTGTTAGATAAAGATTCTAAAGTTTTAGTTGACAATAGTTCACTCACTTGAAATAGTGTTTAATGCCAGAAAGGTTTGCTATTGAGCGGTTGAGGGTTGAGGGTGTAATTCAGTGGTTGAGCACGTGTGGGACTCTGGCTTCAATCCCCAGCATTGTAGGAAAGGTAAATTGCTTTTCCTATAAAAATGCAAATTGCATAGGTTGGATATCAGATAAGCATAAAGTATACAAGCAAAAATTCACGTGGCTGTTGTTTTTTGAGAGCGTGATCTTTTCTTGGTGAGAAATTTAAAAAGCTGTTGACTGGATTATGACATTTCAGAGTGAAATGGAAGGTTATTAATAAATTGTTGTGGCAGCAGATATAAATCATAATCATCTTAGGTAAATTGGGTTATTTGATACCTTATTTCTGATCTGGAGTTCATGATCTTAAAGCTGCCTTGCTTGCCTGCAGAGCTTGTTCATTTTAGTAGTTCAAAGCCATGCAGTGTTGAGGATAGAAATCAAGACTCTCGCATGCAACACATGTACACTGGCCTTCAGGGTGCTCTCTTGTGGCCCCATCCTTTGACTCTTAAATGACAGTTCTCTCTGCTGGGCCCGGGAACTGTCTCTAGGCGCTGCAGTACAGGTCCTGGCACTACATGGCCACTGAGCACGGTTGGTCATAACTCTGATGACCCCTGGCACTGCTTGTGGGCCCAATTATGAAACTGTTAGGTCTGCACAGCCGTGCTGAGTATTGCAGGGAGCAGGGCCCACTTCCCACTGCAGGTTCATTGAGCACCACAGGAAGACAGTTCTTTTTATATAATAATCGACCTTCATGTAGTGGTAGTTAAACAACTGCCTTATTTAAAAGAGGAGGGAAATGCATATATGGATGTGCACTGAGATGAATGTCTATTTCCAACAGTACAAATGTGTTTGCAAGCAATTAAGGTTATCCTGCCTAAAGAAATAGCAGTTCAGATGCTTGTCAAGTGGTACAGTGTCCACAGTGCTCCAGGAGGACCCAGTTACCACTCAGAGTGGAATTTATTTGTGACTTGTCTCATGAACTTGATGGGTTATAACACAGATCGCTTAGCCTGGACCCGAAATGTAAGTATATACAATTGTTTTTCTTCCTGGGTTATTTTTTTGTTAATAATGTACTGTTTGCATAATTCTCTGTAGAACAGAGTATATAATAGATCAGTTTAATTCTAGACATGCCTTGTTTAACGAAATGATACTATAATGTAGTATATAATAATATATAAAATAATTATAGTTACTGCATTTATAAGTTTGTAAAGCATGTTATTTCATCTTTATAAAATGCAATTTATACTAGGATTAGTAGTAATCTTGGTTTTTATTGATGAAGAAATTTAATCAAAATGATCATAATCTGGAGGTTACTTTTTTTGTTATTTTAGGGGTTTGTTTTTGTTTTTGGGCCACACACAGCTGCACTAAGGGCTGACTCATGGCTCTGTGATCAGGGATCACTCCTGGCAGGCTCAGGGGTCCATCTGGGTACCAGGGATTGGGTCAGCTATATGTAAGGCAAGAGCCTTACTGCCGTACTATCTCGCCAGCCCCTCATAATACAGTTGTTGCCAGCATTCAGTGTTGTAACACCAATCCCACCACTGTTGTGACATTCCCTCCACCATTTTCCCCACTTTATCCCCATCTTTATCCCCCCAAGCCTGCTCTCTTAGCAGGCACAAAAATAATTTGTCTTATATTGAAAATTTGTGAAAATGTTTTAGCTCACAATTGTATTGTTGAAGTCAGTGTCTGAGGATTTACAGAGTTTATTGCTAGTTGAGCCTTCTGTGTTACATGGACTTCTGTGCTACTGTCCCATCTGAAAAATTTTTGCTGTGTTCCTCTTGGCTGTTAGTATTGTGGAATTTGAAGGTGTTGTGTGGCTGCATATATGGCTGTGCAATCTAGGAAGTGCAGAACTGGGACAATTCTTTGATCTGCCTTCCTCCCAAGGAGGCCCCAGAGTTCTCAGCCTAAAGACCTGTGTACCTGGGAGTTTCATTGGCGTGGTGTTTCTTCCATAAAATCATTTTTATGTTCTAAATTTCTTTGAAGACCTATTGCTTAGACTCAATGAAATGTTTGAACTTGCTCCCAGGGCAGTGTTTAGCAGGTAAATGGGTCCCAGTGTTATTCAGGGATTTAAGCCTGAGCCCACTGCCATCATCAGCAGGAGGGCTCAAAGCGAGCATGGAGGTATTCATGGACTGGACCTGGATGTGGTGGCCGCTTTGAGTTAGCTACACAGACACTGGCCCAAGCTTGACACTAAAGGGGATGCCTGTGTAGCTGGCTGTGAATCCAGGGATAAGAATAACAAAAGGTTTTGAAGAATTGCTACCTCTGTCTGGCCTATAGCATTTGTTACACTCTTAACTGTATTGGACTAAATCTCCGCTCGCTGCTGACACATGACTAACTGTTGGGTTAATTCTCTGAAACTTGGCATATTTTGGATATGGCTGATGGTCTTTATTCTGTTAAGAGAGTAATGTGTTATGTTATTATAGGAAAGAAAACCTCAATATCTGTAAGCTCAGCGCTGTATGAGGTACTTTACCTGTATGATTTTTATTTAATCTTCACTACCACCTTATAAGGAAGGCCTATGTGTCTTGTTATCCCAGGTAGAAAGATGAGTTTTAATGACTTTCCTTGGCCTCCATAATTGCTAGAACTGATTTTTAAATTCTTGAAGTTGGTCAGCTGACAGTGACAAACATTTATGCTTCTGTCTTCTCTTTTTGGTGTCATCTTCCAGTTTGACTTTGAAGGATCACTTTCTCCAGTCATTGCACCTAAAAAAGCAAGACCTTCTGAAACAGGATCTGATGATGTAAGCATTAAATTTTTTGTTCTTCCATTTTTGGGGGTGGGAGCTTTGGGCTATACCCAGTGGTACTCAGGACTTACTCCTGGCTCTGTGCTCAGGGATCACTCCTGGTTGGCTCAGGAGAACCATTTGTAGTGATGGGATCGAACCTGGGTAGGCTGCCTTCAAGGCGAGTACCCTGCCCCCTGTACTATCTCTCTGGCCCCTCAGGAAATTTCTTGCTAGCATAAATTGATTTGTGGATGTTACTAGTCACTAACCTCCTATTTTTGCAAAATTCCTGTTGACTTGGGTATAATTCTTATGCCTTTTAATACTAAGTTATTTTGGATAGTATCTGATATTTTCAGTGACTATTTTTGTTTTTAATAATCACCTAATACTGACTGCCCAAAATGGTTTATGATTTAATTTGGTTTTATCTTTTATTTCCAAGTGCTCACCTAAAGTGATAACTATGTGAGTGTGAGTGTGTGTGTGTGTGTGTGTGTGCGCGCGCGCGCGCGCGTTGTAGTATTTCTATAATTGAGGATTTAAATGTATTGGATTCCATGTGTATTATTAAGTAGTTAAAACTTTTTAAATTGAGGTCCAGTTTAAGCACGGAAATGCTCAGATTTTGTAATTTAAGCCCGTTTCTTATTAATTTTGACAGATGTGCAGTTTTATAACCCATACCCCTTTTTAAAAATTTTATTTTTATAAAGTTGTTCACAATAATAGATGACATTCAATATTTCAGTACCAGTTTCACCACCATTACACCTTCCCACCACTGTTATTTCAAATTTTCCCATTACCACTCAAGCCTGCCCAACAGGCAGATGCTAGATAATTTATTTTGTATTGCTTGTTGGCAGCCACGTGATCCTGGAATTCTAAAATTTTAGATAATTAGGGTGGTAGAAATCTGCAGCAAGCTGCTCAGATTCATTTTTGAGTCTCTGGACCCTGGCCGTTAATGGGCGTAAGATGCCACCTGGAGGCAGTTCAAGGGCATGACAGCCAGGACCCGTGGCCTTGAGGCCTGGAGTTTATTTTCAGTCACTGGTCCCGTGTACCTAGGTTTTTCATTGGGTTCTTGAAGTTCGCAGCCGTCGGGATTCCTAGGGGGTAGGTGGAGGGACAATTCCTGCTCCCCATCTGTGGCACTTCAGTGAAATTGGCGCAAGGTCCAGAGGCATCTCTGCAGCAAACTGTTCAGTTCTGAAATTGACCAATTTTTTTCCCAGTGGGGTTGAAGTTGACTTTTCTTGATACTTAATACTGGCATCTAGCAGTTGATTAGCTGTTTTGATGTAAGACCTGATATTTAAGCATTGTAATTTTTTTGGTGTGTGTGTCTGGTGCAAAATAGTTTGTTTATTTGTTTGTTTTGGGGACCACACCTAGTAGTGCTCGGGCTTACTGCTAACTCTACACTCAGGGATCACTCCTAGGATGTGGGGGAGCCAACCCGGGTCAGCCTTATGCAAGGCAAATGTCCTACTGACTGTAAAATTGCTCTTGTCCCAAAATAATTTTTATGTAAGCTTACTTAGAAAGATGTGAGGGGATAGAAAGAGAAGAGAAATTACGTGTCCAAGAGAGAATGCTAGCTTCCCCAGAATGGAAAAAACAAAGAGACAGAAACAAGCAACTGAGTAACATGTTCAAGGGAGAACCTGGGCTTGAAGAGGAAGTCTGTGATTTTTTTATTTTTCTCATAGTGTAGATCAACTTAATACCAAAATGGAACTTGAATTGTTTTAAATGAATATGGGTTTCTGTTTAATGATGACACTAGGAGATGTTATTTAAAAATTAATATCCTTTCTATTCTTTTTAGGACTGGGAATATTTACTAAATTCAGACTACCATCAAAATGTTGAGTCTCATCTTTTGAATAGATCTTTATGTTTGAATCCCCTGGAAGTTTCACAGATGAAAGATGAGGATTTTTCACAGAGTCTCAATCTGGATTCTTCTACGCTTCTTTTCGCTCACATACCTGCGATATTTTTTGTTCTACACCTTGTCTATGAGGAATTTAAGTTGAATACTCTAATGGGAGAAGGAATTCGTTCTCTTGTTGACCTTCTTGTTCAGTTGGCAAGGTAATTATTGTTTGTAGGTAAGAAATTGCCTGATTTCCTTAGATACCAGCCTAATGTAATATGAGAACCTGGAAAATAAATTTCTGAACTCTAGCTGAGAAAGCCTAAATTTTCTTTTTTTTTTTTTCCCCTTTATTTTATTTTATTTTTTTTAAAGTTGTAGATTTACAATTTTTTGTGCTTTGGTTTCAATTATACAATGATCAGATACCCATCCCTCCACCAGTGCCCATTTTCCACCACCATGGATAATATCCCTCCCACCCCCATCCCCCATCCCCCCTGTCTCTGTGGCAGGGCAATCCCCTGTGTTCTCTCTCTCCTTTTGGGTGTTGTGGTCTGCAAAAGAGGCATTGAGTGGCAAACATGTTCAGTCCATAGTCTACTTTCGACATGCATCTCCCCTCCTGGGAGGATCCTCCAAACATCCTTTATTTGGTGCTCCCTTCTCTATCTGAACTGCCCTTACCTCTAGGATACCCGGCTAGCCTCTAAGTTACGGAGTAATCCTCCTGGTGCTGATCTCAGCTATTCTTGGGTATTAATTTCATACTTTGTTACTTTATATCCCCCAGATGAATGCAATCTTTCTATGTCTGTCCCTCTCTTTCTGACTCATTTCGCTTAGCATGATACTTTCCATATTGTACCACTTGTATGTAAAGTTCATGACTTCATCTTTTCTAAGAGCTACATAATACTCCATTGTGTAGATGTACCAAAGTTTCTTTAACCAGTCATCTGTTCTTGGGCATTCAGGTTTCTTCCAGTTTCTGGCTATTGTAAAGAGTGCTGCAATGAACAAACAAGTGCAGATGTCACTTCGACTATACATTTTTGCCTCTCTGGGATATATTCCCAGGAGTGGTATTGCTGGGTCAAATGGAGCTCAATTTCTAATTTTTTGAGAATCGTCCATACTGTTTTCCAGATGGGCTGAACCAGTCGACATTCCCACCAACAGTGAAGGAGTGTCCCTTTCTCGCCACATCCGCGCCAGCATCGGTTGCTTTTGTTCTTTTGAATGTGGGCCAGTCTCTGAGGTGTGAGATGGTATCTCATTGTGGTTTTGATCTGCATCTCCCTGATGATTAATGATGTAGAGCATTTTCTCATGTGCTTTTTTGCCATTCGGATTTCTTCTTTGAGAAAGTTTCTGTTCATTTCATTGCCCCATTTTTGGATGGGGTTGGATGTTTTCTTCTTGTGGAGTTTAACCAGTATTTTGTATATCCTGGATATCAACCCCTTGTCAGATGTGTATTCAGTGAATATCCTTTCCCATCCTGTAGACTGTCTTTGTATTTTGGTCACTGTTTCTTTGGAGGTGCAGAAGCTTCTTAGTTTAAGATAGTCCCATTTATCTATCTCTGTTTTCACTTGCTCGGCCAGTGGCGTGGCATCTTTGAAGATACCATTAGCTTCAATGTCATGGAGGGTTTTGCCAACTTTATCTTCAATGTACCTTATGGTTTCTGGTCTGATGTTGAGGTCTTTAATCCATTTTGATCTTACTTTTGTACATGGTGTTAGGCAGAGTTCTGAGCCTATTTTTTTGCATGTAGCCATCCAGTGATGCCAACACAATTTATTAAAGAGGCTTTCCTTACTCCACTTCACATTACTTGCACCTTTATCAAAGATTAGATGAGCATATGATTGAGGAGAGATGTCAGTGTATTCAACCCTGTTCCATTGGTCTGCAGTTCTGCCTTTGTTCCAGTACCATGCTGTTTTAATTATTACTGCTTTGTAGTACAGTTTGAAGTTCGGGAGGTTGATTCCTCCCATTTTCTTTTTCCCAAGAATTGGAAAGCCTAAATTTTCAATAAACCACGGAATTAGCTGAAGGTCGTGGCTATGTAAGAACCTGGTGGGCTCCACTGGGGTTTCTAGGCTTTGACTTGGTCTAGTCACAAAGTATATTCAATACTCTGAATGACTTGCCCAGCCTTATCTTTTTTTTTTTGGCTTTTTGGGTCACACTTGGCAATACACAGGGGTAACTCCTGGTTCTGTATTCAGGAATTACTCCTGGCTGTAGCTCAGGGGACCACATGGGATGCTGGGAATCGAACCTGTGTCAGCTGCGTGCAAGGCAAATGCCCTACCCGCTGTGCTATCACTCCAGCCCCCAGCCTTATCTTTTGATAAGATGACTGGCTGTACTATGATAGAAATTTTATTATATCACCTTTGTTTGTGTGTGTGTGAGATGCTGGGGATCAAACCCAGGATGTATGCATGAAAAGCCATGTACTTTGCATGGACCCGTGCCCTTGGCACATGGGTCTTGCTTATTTTACTTTGAGGCCACACTCTGTGCCTCTCAGGGCTTAATCCTGGCTCTGTGCTCAGGCATCACTTCTGGTGGGACTTGGGAGACCACAAAGGGTGCTGGGGATTGAACCTGGGTTGGCCACATATAAGGCAAGCCCCCTCCCGGTTGTACTCTCTTTAGCCCCTGACAACTATGTCTAATAAGGCTAACCTGCTACTTTGTAATAATACTATCAGTGTTGGCATTTAAAAGTTGTCAAACAAGGTTGGTTTTTTGAACCTTATTTTAGTTTTTAGGAAAAACTTGCCCAAGTTTGTTTTCAAGTGCAATAGAGGTGTTTGTTAGTTGTGATGTTTCACTGGCATTTGTTTTGACAATCTGCTTATTTTATTTATTTATTTATTTTTGCTTTTTGGGCAACACCCAATGATGCTCAGGAGTACCTCCTGGCCCTGCACTCAGGAATTACTCCTGGCGGTGCTTGGGGGACCATATGGGATGCTGGGGATTGAACCCAGGTTGGCCGCGTGCAAGGCAAATGCCTTACCCGCTGTGCTATCGCTCCAGCCCCTACAATCTGCTTATTTTACCAGACTTTAAAACAAATTTTTCCCTGCCACAGAGGTGGGGTGGGATGGGGGGGGGGGGTTGGGAGGGGTAGGAGGGATACTGGGATCATTGGTGGTGGAGAATGGGCACTGGTGGAGGGATGGGTACTCGATCATTGTATAACTGAAACCCAAGCACAAAAATTTGTAAGTCTACAACTATACCTCATGGTGTTTCACTAATCAAAATTAAAAAAGAAAAAAAAAGAAAAAAAGAAAACAGGGGCTCAAGAGTGAAAAAAAAGTTGCTTTGAACTAAAAAAAAACCCAAAAAACAAAAACCCCAAATTTTTAAGTGAAATAAACTAGTTTCATTTAAGGAAATTCACTTAGAGAAATGTTAGAGAGACAGTCTTAAACCTGGAGCCTTACGTAAATCAAGAGAGAAAATGGGCATGGAAAAAGCCTTTTACCCAGACTCTAATAGTGGATCACAATAATATTTTTCTATTCATTGTGTTTTAGCAGCCCTTCTAGCATTAATTTACTGTCCTTATGGTGTTGCTTGAGTTCCCCAGGATCCTTGATGATAGGCAAGGTTGGATTTGGACTTGCATGTCAGTCAATGAGTTAAGATCAGCGTATATATCCTAATTTCTGTGATCTTTCTCGGATATTAATGTTCTTTTCTGAGACATTACTGTTTTAATTATTAACTTCTCTTATTGCTATCATAACTGTCATGAAAATTCTTTCGTAGTGAAAAATGTTTCCAAATGAACATGGTTCTCTGAGATAAGTAACATTTGTATAGTGCTTTACATTTTGTAGACACTTTTTAAAGTACAGCATTGGGGAGACTTTTATTATTGTGTGTGTTAATACTATAGAGTTTTCTTATTGTTTTGTAAAATATGTTCTTTAGGGACTTAAAACTGGAGCCTTACGTAGATCATTACTATAGAGATTACCCAACGCTTGTCAGAGCTGCCAGCCAAGTGTGTACAATTGATCAAGGTAAGTGTTTGTGCTGTTAGTGTAGTGACATCTGCTTATATCTTTTGTTCCTCTCGATTAGAGGCAGTATTCTTCCACCAGGCAGATTTTAGTTTGTAGTTCTTTATCTGATGAATAGTAAAGCCATGTCTTCATTGTTTGGAAAGAATTTCAAACATTCTCAAGCATTCATTCTAAGGCTTCTTTGTCCTAGACTCCTGTGCTGTTGAATAAGTAATCTCTAAACATGTATTGCTTAATTTAATATTAAAAACTCAGTTTCTCAGTTGTACTGATTGCATTCCTACAGCTGTTGGTTCCCATATTGGACAGTACAGATACTGCTGTTCTGTTGTAGAACCTAAATTAGAGGGACTGACCCAGTTACTAGAGGAGAGTGGAATTCTGGTTCTTGCTCCTGTTGTCTGACCTGTGAGATTAGGCACAAGTGTTGATTAATTGTTCATATGAGTTGGACAGAAGAATTTGCTACATTTCTGTCCAGTATGGGATAAAAATAGTAATTATTAAAATTCTGCACATTACAGTAACAGTCAAATTATTTACTGTGGCAGAAATGTGAAGCTTTTGGAGCATGTGAAAAAAAGTTACTCTGATTGTATCCAAACAAAGTTGCTATTTTTGTTTAGTTGTTTGTTTTTGGTTTTGGTTTTTGGGCCACACCTGGGGGTGTTCAGGATCACTCCTAGCGGGGTTTGGGACTATTCTGGGGTATTAGGAATTGAACCCAGATGGCTAGGTGCCAGGCAGTGCCATACCTTATGTACTTTTGCTCTGGTCCACTCTATCATTATTCATTTATTGTTTTGGCATCACATGGTGATGCTTAGGGGTTACTCCTGACTGCACTCAGGGATTATTCCTGATGGTGTCCGGGGGAACCATATGGGATGCTGTGAGTCAAACCTGGGTGGGCATGTGATGGCAAACACTGTCTGTCTTCTGCACTATTGGTCTAGCTCCTATTGCCACTGTTTGTAAAGACCGAAATACATTTATCTTAATTTGTCCTTGCATCTTTCTCTAATTTGAAAGATCAGACAGGATTTATGCAGCACCCGTCGTTTTTCACTTCTGAGCCACCAAGTATTTACCAGTGGGTGAGTTCTTGCCTGAAGGGTGAGGGAGCACCACCCTATCCTTACCTACCTGGGATCTGTGAAAGAAGTCGGCTTGTAGTGATGGTACGTATTTGGAGTGTTGCCTGGCTTTCTGATGTGCCATTTCAGTACTTAGCATGTAGTAAAATTAGCCTTTGTGAGTTTTAGTAAATATGGAGATGCCATAATCCTCACATAATTAGGATACAAAGCTGTCTCCTATGCTCCCAGCCGCCCATTTCCCTCATGCTTTTGCGATTCTCAGGGTGCTGTCTGTCACAGCAGATCATTACATTTCGCAGCTGGTTGCTAGTCCAGTGTATGGATAATGTCACATTGTTCTCCTCTCTTATTGATGATATTTGGGTTGGTTTGAAGTTTTGGTAGTTAGGAGTACAACTTTAAATATTCAGATTTGGGGTTTTTGCGCAGGTGTGGTTTCTCTAGCATAGAGATGAGAGATGGGATGATAGTCACGAATTCAGCGTTTATTTATACTTCAGTTGTTGATTTTTTTCAGCGTAACTATATACCATTTTAAATTTCCCACCATCATGCTTGAGAGAACCAGTTTTACTGTGTTCATCTCAGTGTTTGAATTTGTCGCGATTTTTATTTATTCTATTGTTTGTTTTTCGGGCCACAACTGGCAGTGCTCAGGACTTATTTCTGGCTGTGCCCAGGGATCACTCCCTGGGGACCTCTGGGGACCTGAGGAACATACGGGATGCTGGGGATTGAACTGGCCACATGCAAGGCTAGTGCCTTACCTGCTGTACTATCTCTGTGGCCCCTAACATTGTTTAGTTTTTAACATTGATAAGGAAGGAAAAAGACTGATGACCTTGAGTGAAACAGTGGTACTCGGGACATGCTGAATGTGATCATCTCTGTGCTGTTTAAAAAGCAGTGTCCTTTCTCCTCCACAGAGTATTGCACTGTATATACTGGGTGATGAGAACTCCGTGTATGAGGAATCCTCACAGTATTTATCCAGAGTGACCATTGGTAAGTCATTGTACTGTCTGGCTGCTTGAAACAGCTTCGAAACGTCACTCTCAGAGTTAGTTGGTGAAAGCCTGTTTTCTAAGTGCTTACTGAGAGGTTGTGCCATCTCATTTTAGAGTGATGTTCTTGTACTACTCTGCTAGTCTCTAGTTTGCAGCTGATTGTCAGAGATTACTTATTATTTAACAAGATGTATTTTTGGTATAGCGTGAACAGATCATTTTATTTTATGAATCACCACGGGATGCACAAAGTTGTTCATGATTGCATTTCAGTCATTCAATGTTCTAACACCCATCCCTTCACCAGTGTTAAGTTTACTACCACCAGTGTCCCCAGTTACTCTCCCGCCACCTCCCCTTCCTACCCTCTAGCCTGCTTCCATGGCAGGCATTTTTCTTTCTTCTCTCTCTCTCTCTCTCTCTGCCCCCGTCCCCTTCCTTCTTCCTCTCCCTCTCCCTCTCTTTCTCCCTCTTCCTCTCTGTCTCTGTCTCCCTCACCCCTCTTTTTGGGCAATATGGTTTGCAGTACAGGTATACAGGTGCCGGAAGGTTATCACGTGTATCTCTTTACCTCCTTTCAGCACTCAGTTCTTGTCCAGAGTGATCAATTCTAACTCTCCTTGTCATAGTTGTAATGGTCCTTTCTCTGTCCTAACTGCTCCCCCAGCCTTCTCCCACACTCCCCCACCCCCCAACCCAGGGCGAGCTTCCAACCATGGTCTGAGCAGTCTACCTGGCCCTCATTTCTGCTGTCCTTGGGTATTAACCTCATACTGTGTTCTTTTATATTCCACAAATGAGTGTAATTATTCTGTCTTTCCCTCTCCCTCTCACTCATTTCACTCAGCATGATATTTTCCATGTTATCCCTTTATAAGCAAATTTTATGATTTTGTTTTTCCTAATGGCTGCATAGTATTCTATTGTGTAGATGTACCATAGTTTATCCAGTTGTCTGTTCTCAGGCAATCTGTTTTGTTTTGTTTTTTTTTTCCAGATTCTGCCTATTGTGAATAGTGCTGCAATGAATATAGAAGTGCAGATAGATAGCTTTTATCAGTTTGTTTTTGGACCATTGAAAGTATTATTTTAGCTTCAGTGAAATGATTGTACTTTACAGCTTGTCAGATTACTACTTATTTTATTTCTTTTTCAAACATTTGCTTGTTAGTGAATTTTTATTTTCAAATGTTGCCTACATGTTATGTTATGTGTTTACTAGGATAGCGATCAAGATAAAGTTTAATTAATTTTGTTGCCGTTTAGCCCCTCAAAAGCTGCAAGCAGAGCAAGAGGAAAACAGGTGACTTTTATTCAGATTGTGCTTTTTCTTTTTTTTTTTTTTGCTTTTTTGGGTCATACCCGGCGATGATGCATAGGGGTTACTTCTGGCTCTGCACTCAGGAATAACTCCTGGCAGTGCTTGGGGGACTATATGGGATGCTGGGAATCGAGTCTGGGTTTTCCGTGTGCAAAGCAAATGTCCTACCCACCGTGCTTTCGCTCCAGCCCTCAGATTGTGCTTTTTCAAAATTAAAAAGTATGGTGGTGGGGAATAAATTTAAAAATACAGAACAATTTTGTGTTTTGATTTTCTATTAAATGTCTAGTTCTGTTTTTTTTTTTTTCTCTACTCTCTTTCTCTCCTTTTTTTAAATTTTGTTTTCTGTTTCTTTTATCTCCCCTCTCTCTTTTACAGGTTTAGTTTCAGTCATTCTACATCAGTTTCGAGTCTAGCCGAAAAATTAGTTGTCTGGATGACTGATGAAGGTAAGGTAGTCTTTTCTTTAAATTTTTACTTTCTAATGTCTGAATTGCCAGGAGAACCTCATGCTTTTTCTGGATCTGTCCTTCCTAAAGAGGCCCTGAAGTGAGCGGGTCTGGGAGGCACGAGGGGTCGGAGGGGTGCTCTCACTTCTGGAAAGGTTTCCGCACAGTAGAAATTAGGACTCTTCCCTTTCAGTGCTAATCTCACAACCTTTCCTGAGCTAGTAATCCATTTAAACAATCATATTAAATTTACGGAGCTATAGCGATAGCACAGCGGTAGGGCGTTTGCCTTGCACGCAGTCAACATGGCCGACCCGAGTTCGATTCCTCCGCCCCTCTCGGAGAGCCCGGCAAGCTACCGAGAGTATCTCGCCCGCACGGCAGAGCCTGGCAAGCTCCTCGTGACGTATTTGATATGTCAAACACAGTAACAACAAAATCTCCAATGGAGACGTTACTGGGCCCGCTCGAGCAAATCGATGAACAACGGGAGGATCGTGATTCATTAAATTTACTTCTTACTAATAATACTAGTCATTTTGTATGAATGCAGATATATTAAGTTTAAAAGGTGCCTCTTCCTAGGGACATCTCGTTATATATCCCAGACTACAGTCCTCAGGCCAAGTTAATTTTTTTCTAACCCCAGCAGTGTCCTTATTCAAATGTTACTTCTTTTTTGGGTCATGAGAGTTTGTTCCACGACCATGTTCTTAACATTATTCTTGTTATAGCACTTAGCTTGTCCCTTTTCAATGCTAGGGTAGCTTTCAGCTTGTCCTAGGTCCATCCTTGTCCCTTGCCGGGACCCTCCTTTTGGCGGTGTTAGGAAGTAAGAGCAACTGAGGCTTAAGTCAAGTAAATATGATAGATGCCCAGGAGTAAATATTATTCAGAGCCAATTACTCCCATGTTACAACAGCATAGCATTAACTATTTTCCTGTGTCTAATACAAAAAGGACTTTTCTAAACCATGCAAAGGACATAAAGGAAAGGGAAAAACAATATAGGATTAGAAGTGATGAAATTGGTGTGCTTTGGGAGCACTGTGACGGGAATAACTCAGTAAACTTAAGCTCCCTGAGAGAAGCAAGGACAACCCAATGTTATCCAATACTGATGTCCTTTGCATAGCACTGAAGTGACCCTAGGGACCCCTGGCACTATGGGCGTGACCCTGAGGGCTCCTGCATATTATTGGCGTAATCTTGGAGCGCCAGCTTATTATTGGCATGGCCCTGGGGCCTCTGTGTAGCACTGGAAAGGCCCTGATGGTCCCTGCATAATTTTGGGGTGGCCTGAGGGTGTGGGGTGATGCCCAACACTGCACGCCCTAGCAGTACTGCAGCCTGAGGCCCTAGCCCTGGGCTGAGAATGCTGGGAGGGGTGCCCAACCCCCCTGAGTGCTACTTGGGACGTCCCTTTCCCCAGAAGAGGATGAATACAATAGTTTGTTAGAAAGTAGTACTTTAATGGTATCATGAGGTGTCTCTGGATGCTTATCTATATTTGTGTTAACACATAGTATTTAGGAGCTGGAGACATAGTTCAGGAATTAAGGCCCTTGTCTTGCATGCCGCAAAAACCCTGATTTACATCCCTGGCAGATGGTTTCCTGAGCCCTGCCAAAAGTGATCCCTGGGAAGAGTCAGGAGTAAACCCCGAGCACAGCTGGGCATGGCCTCACAATAAACAAAGCAGTAATGCTTTATTTTTATGTAACGAACGTTTCCCCTCCCCCTTAAACTTTGTGTTAACAACATTATATTTTAAAAGACAGAAGCTAATTATAGAAAAGCTATGTTTAATTATCCTAAATATTTGTAAACCTTAACTAAGAAACATGATTGATTGACATACCCACAAAAGAATGTGGCTTAGAAACCATTCACAAGGTGACTGTTGCTGCTCTGGTCCCCCTGTTGGAGATAGAACATGGCTGCTGGCTAGGTGGAAAATCCTGGGGCGTCAGAGGCATGTTATCCTCCACTCACCCCACCCAACCTGATGAGTAAACCCCCCTGACTAAATGCTATATTCCCTTCCCTTTTCCGTGTGGATTTATCTGTGTTTGTTGCTCACTGCTGTGTTTGTGGATGTAGCTGTAACTGACTGTGGACTTGTCTTCTTTATTTTGGGTTGGGGTGATTCCCTAGCGCTGGAGGCCACTCTTGGTGATAGCTGTATGCATAGCCTGGCCCTGTGGACCAGCTGTGTCAGTGCTTGGGCCTGGGGGGGGGGGGTGGCCCAAGGCCTTTCTGCTAGTACTTGGGGAGCTATGTGACAGAAATTGAACTTGGGCCATGTTCTTGAACTTGGGCCATGTTCTTGAACTTGGCTGCATGCTCTGCAGCCCTTTGAGGTATTTGTTTTATTCTGTTTCCTCACTGTTTTTGTTTTTTCTTTTCTTGGCTACACTCAGTGATATTCAGGGCTTACTCCTGGCTTTGCTGTCAGGGATCACTCATGGTGGGACTCAGGGGACCAAATGGGGTAGCGGTGATTGAACCCTAGTTGGTTTGGTGCAAGGCAATCACCTTTTCTACTATATTTTCTCTCTAGCCCCTTGGTATATTTTTTACGTTTCATGAATGTGAACTCATCAGTAGGTTATTTTGTATTCCGTTATTTTGGATGTTACAGTTTAATTCACTCTATTGATGATAGTGTTTGGCTGTTTTTTTCCTTCCTCCTTTTGCCATAACGAATCAGTGTTACTAATGAATATTTTCACCTGTCTTGGTGTACCCATGCACATTCTCATAGATGCTAATAAAGCAGATGAGTCTTTCTAAACATGTGAAATATTTTCCAAAGTGGCCCTTCCAGTTTATCTGTCCATCAGAGGTGGGAAAGTATCATTGTTGCTCTGGGTAGTTAGTTGCCAGAATTTGGTATCGATGACTTTAGTATTGTTAGGGGAGTAAGAAATTCTGTTTACTAATGTTTTTTAAGTTTGCATTCCTCAATCTTATTACATATGAAAGATGTTCTTTCGTTAATAGACATCTTTCATATGTCTGTTGGTCATTTAAGCTTCTAACCGGGGAGGATTTTCTCTTTTTTTGCTTTTTCTTTTGGTTTGTTTTTTTCTTAAGACTTTCAGGAGTTCTTTGAGAGAGACTTTTTATACTAATCTCCTGGTTAAAACATTCATCCAGATGAATAAAATTAGTTTCTTACATGCGAAGGTAGATGTTTATCAGCCAAAGGGTAATCAGGACAGGCAAGTCAAAATGACCATGTTCCTTCCTTTCCTGATAAGGTATCACTTTGAGAGACTTGGAAACTCTTCCGTTTGGAATTGCCATACCCATCCGAGATGCAATTTATCACTGTCGAGAGCAGCCTGCTTCAGACTGGCCTGAAGCTGTCTGTCTCTTGATTGGACGGCAGGATCTTTCCAAACAGGCCTGTGAAGGAAACTTACCCAAAGGAAAATCTGTGAGTATTAACAGAAGGAAGTTCAAAGTTCAGTCTTACCTTCAGTAATACGAAGGTAGAATTCTGTTCTTCAGTTTCCTTTGAGTCTTTCTGAAAGTATGTGGGGTGAGAGCAGGGATGGGCACATCCAGCGCTGATCAATGCCACCCCCAGCACAGTGCTCGGGAGACCATGTAGGCCAGGTCATCAGTTGATCTATTTTTGATGGGGAGGAGAGGAGGATGTTCAGCTATACCTGTCAGTATTCAGGGACTATCAGGAGTGACCTTGGTGGTATTTAGGGACCATATGTGGAAGATCGAACCTAAGTCAGGGATTGGCCATATGCAAGGCAAACACGCATGTGCGCCCTCCCCCCTTTAATCCCCCTTCTTTACTGTCTCTTCACTCCCCATCCTGTTGTCTTTTATATTATATGACAGATGTGGTAAGGCCCCCAGGGACACACCCAGTGTTGTTCTTGTTTTGGGGCCAGAAGAGCTATGATCAGAGGTGTTTGGGGGTGGGGTGGTGGGAGCATGTAGTGCTGGGGGCCTTTAGCATGCTATTCCTGTGCTCTCCCATTTTAGAATGAGGTGCTCCAAAAACATTTATTAGAGTTAGAGTAATTTTGGTAGTGCTGGTGGGGCCTTCCCAAGCATTGCTCAGAGTTTCCCTTGTGCCACTCCAAGTGATACTTTGTCCAGCTGACTAGATGGTTGAGTGCTCAGGCCCTAGGATGTGTTGCTGTGTGATGCTCAGGAGCCTGCAGGGCGATCCCCAGTGATGCTCGGGCATGTGATGGGGTCCTTAGCATGTGGAGCAGACTCCCCTGTGTCCTGTCCTGTCTCCCTGGCCCAACAGTGGATTCTGTGTGAACTGAGTCAGAGTTGTAGGCAGAACTGTGGCCATTTTTTTCTCCTTTTCTCTGCTGTTGCTGTTGTGACCACGGGGTCTGCTCCTGCCGGTCACACTCAAACCTGTGCAGGGCAGAGGCCTCACAGTGCTTGCGGCAGACCTCACACTCTTGTGGTGTGGGGGTACCCAACAGTGGAGCTTCTGGAATTGTGTTGGGCTCATGTGGGAGGCACCAGGGATCAGACTCCAGATCTCACAGATACTCACAGGCCCTTTCACCACTGAGTCAGCCTTGGGCCCCTGCCATTCGTTTCTATTTTCTTGGCAGGATGGGGGGTGGTGAGAGAGCATCCTCCCAAGGGCTTGGAGGCCTCTCACGGCTCTTCTTGGTCTGCTGAGATGATGCTTATGGCTCCTTATGGTACCAGGGATCAGATCAGACCAGGGTTGGCCACATGCAGGGGAAGTTCTTAACCCCTGCACTGTCTCCAGCTCCATTTTTTGTTTCTGTTTTTGTGGTTTTTAGCTATTGTTGCCTCCGTATTACGTTTTAACAGTGTAGCATTTCAACTAGGAGGTAACCAGTCTTACATTCAAGAAGTTTTAGACTGAGGGAAAGTGTGGTTTTATGCTGTTCACGTCTGTGTTGAAGTCTGAATGATTTGGACTAGGAAGTTCCAAAAGAATTTAACTCTTTTGTCGTGTTTTGTTGCATTTAATCCCTTTAATTTTTTTTTTTATTTTGACAAACTTAGGAGAATAAAGCAAAAACTAACCATTCAATTTATTCTATTTAATGCACCAAATTGTGGGGCCAGGGCAGTAATATAGCAGGTGGGATGCTTGCCTTGCCATGGTTGATCTGGGTTTAATCTCTGTCACCCCATATGGTCCCCTGAGCACTGCCAGGGGTGATCCCTGAGCCAAGAGCCAGGAGTAAGCCCTGAGCATCAAAATCTAAAATTAAACAAAGTTACCAGATTGAGAAAGCCTTGTTTGGAGCTTCGGGTCAGGTGCACATGAAGGTTTCCCAGAACTGGATCTCTTTGGTCCCTGAGCACAGCTGGGATGGCCCTGGTTCCCCCAGCAATTGCAGGACCCTAGCATTGCAATGTGGGTTGAGAATCACTGGAAGTGATCCCTCAGTCTCCTGAACACTACTTTGGAATCCCTCCAATCTTCCCCCCCAAAGCATTAACTTCCCAACCCTCACTTATGCTCACCTAGGTTTTCTAATGCATCTGTTAATCAAAGACAGTGGATAAATTAGGGTGGGTTCTTTAGAAATAGTACAGTTAATATTCTGCTTGCAGTAATTCAGTTTCTTTCCAAAAAATGTTTAGGATATAGTAGATCATACCTGGCAGTCACTGTCACTGTCACTTCCTTCTGTTCATCAATTTGCTCGAGTGGGCACCAGTAACGTCTCCATTGTGAGACTTATTACTGTTTTTGGCATATCAAATACGCCATGAGGAGCTTGCCAGGCTCTGCCATGCGGGCGGAATACTCTCGGTATCTTGCTGGGCTCCGAGAGGGATGGAGGAATCGAACCCGGGCCTGCAGTACTCAAGGATTATTCCTGACTCTGTGCTCACGAGTGACCCCAGGTGGTGCTCAGGGGACATCTGTGGTGCCAGGATCGAACTGGATTCATTTGCATGCAAGGCAAGTGCCTTGCCTCCTGTATTATCTCTGTTCCAATAGAGTAGATTTTTTTTAACAGTTTATTTAAAATGTTTCAGTGGGATCAACCCGTTTTTGTTGTCTTAAATATAAACTTCTCCTTCAGTTGCAGAGTTCTTGGTCTGTAGGTGGAAATCCCCCTAGTCAGTGGACCTCGAGGTAGCCCTGCTGTGGAATATAGTTTGTGTCTGCTGTACTAAGCATGGCCCTTCATCCTTTGTAGCCTCATGCTCAGTAGTGCATGTTGACTGGGTTTTAAACTGTTATTACAATCAAGTCTATTACTCAGGTGCTCTCATCAGATGTTCCTTCAGGAACAGAAACGGAAGAGGAAGACGATGGCATGAACGACATGAATCAGGAGGTCATGTCACTAATATGGAGTGAAGATTTAAGGGTGCAGGACGTGAGAAGGCTTCTTCAGAGTGCACATCCGGTGCGCGTCAATGTCGTTCAGTACCCAGAGCTCAGTGACCACGAATTCATTGAGGAAAAAGAAAACAGGTAAAGAAAAATTCATATCCCTTCACATTTTTTCTCCCTCTGTCCCTTCTCTCTCCCTCCCTCCCTCCCTCCCTCCCTCCCTCCCTCTCTCCCTCCTTCCGTCCTTTCTTTTTTCCTTCTCTGCTTTTTTCTGAAACTCTAAAAGATAGCTGTAAGTTATAAGTACCAAGCATTTTAAACTTTTATTCAACCCCAGTAAAACATGCATATTTTTAAAACTTTAGCATTTGGTAACACCAATATGTATTACAGCCTCTACCTCTAGAAATACACCTGTGTGTCATTTAGAAGAGTGAATTGGAAACCATTTGCTCCTATCCACAGAGCTCATATATCCAGGACTCATTCTTCTGTGAGAAGATTTGAGGTTTTTGTTTTTTACTATGTTATATTTTACATTTTCACCAGTAATTTTTTCTAGTATGATGGGTAATACTTTGTAAGCTCACTGAGTGTGTGTTATGTGAGTTCTATTTAGTACTTAGAATATTGCCCAATAGTAAAACTCGGTTTATTAAAAGAATTTATAAAGTCTGTGACACTATGTCTTATATTTATTTATTTTGGGGTCACACCTGGCAGTACTCACTTCTGGCTCTGTGCTCATTCCTGGAGGGCTTGGGAGACCTTATGAGGTGCTGAGGATTGAACTTGGGTTGGCTGCATGCAAGGCAAGTCCTTAGCTGCTGTACTAGCTCTCTTCCCCTACTTCTTTTATCTCTGAAGTCAGAGTATGTTTTTTTTTGGGGGGGGCCAGTAGATTTGACAGGTCCCCCTTATTTTTAGTATCTCATGAAATAATGATGAAAATCATAATCATTAGTATTCCAAGTGGGGGATACATGCTATTATTTTCACTGTTATAACTTTATGGCTCATATATGTAAGGTTTCTGCCAAAAAAATTTTTATGGGATATTGCTCCTTGGCCATGAATTTTCTTGATTCCCAGTGTGGGAACTAAAGAATAACTTCAGATAGAGTTCACAGTGAGTCTTGGGCCAGCCGAGTTTTCTTCCCTAAGGAACTAGAGAAGAAGCTGTATGTATATTCAGTCAGAAGAAAGCATGCTTGTTGAATATATTCATTTGCATGAAAATGGCTCTGGAAGGATGTATCTATATCTTTAGCTAGAGCTTGTGCTTTTCTAGTTATAGAAAGGTGTCCCTACTTCCAAAGTTTGCTTAATTTGATTTTTAAGGAGTAAGTTTGAGTAGTGTATTGTTTCAAAATCCTTCGCGCAGAAGCCCTCTAACCCATAATATAATTAGTATACCATGCTGTTGGGCCTGCAGCTCCTTGCCGTGGTGTCAGTGCACTGGCTCTGTGTTCCCCTGACAGCATCTCGAAACACCCTCTCCTTCAGGAGTGGGGCTGCTTTCCTGTCAGTGTGTAAAGGCCATGGAAATGGTCCTTCTCGGGCTGTGGTGATCAGAAAGGCTGAGAGAAAGAAAGATGCCACAAGTACTGAAATCAGGTAGCTGGAAAACAAAACAGTGAAGAAGCTCAAAAGAAATATTTTCCTCTAAGAGAGTTACATCATTCAAAGTAGGATTTTGAATACCTGGAACAAGTTGAGAAGTAGGTTGGCTAGTAGACTAGCTGTCTTTCATAAGAAATAGAAGAAAAAATGCCTGCCTCTTAGATTCTTTAGCTTGAGCAGTTAGCATCACTATGCTGGGATGGTTCACAGACCTTTCTGCATGGGTTTCCTTAAATGTGACCTCATCTTTGCAGCATGCCTTCGTTTGAAAAACTTGCCTGCAGACTGCATCCTGATTGTTTTTGCTTACGCTTTTCTCACATTTTGGTTTTAATTTTAATTTTAGATTGCTTCAGTTGTGTCAGCGAACTATGGCCCTCCCAGTGGGACGAGGAATGTTTACCTTATTTTCTTACCACCCAGTTCCAACGGAACCGTTGCCTATTCCTAAATTGAATTTGACAGGTATATTGAATTCTCTTTGGTGGTATTACTTTGAATACTTTTTGTTAAAGCCAAATAAATGTTTCTTTGAAAAAATCCCTAGTTAATTTTAAATATTGTAATAGCTGATTTTGCTATTAGAGTTCAAATAGTTCAAAACATTGATGGAAGTAGACTGTAGCCCATTATCAATTTGTCCCTTGAAGAAAAGGTATGTAAAAATGTTTGGAAAAGTTTATTTTTTGGGATGAGGTGAGGTATCTTTATTTTAGTGTATGTATTTTACTCAAGGTTTTATTTTGGTAGCCCTTTTAGAAAGGATCATCCTTGTTTAATAATAATAATATTGGAAAAAATACTTCAAATAGTTCCTTAATTCATATTGCCGTGGTATGCTACTTTTGTATGTTGTTACTGTCTCTCTCTCTGTGTGTGTGTGTGTGTGTGTGTGTGTGTGTGTGTGTGTATTTTGCTGGGGTTGATCTCAGGCTCTAGAGCATGTGAGGTATGTTCATTGCTCTGAGACGTATCCCTGACTCTCTGTTGTTATTTTTGAAGAGATGTGCTTTATTCTATGCCTTTCATTTCCTCTTGTGTATCAGGGTTATGTGTTATGCATATGATGAACAATTGCTTTGGAAAGTTTAATTCTTTTTCCTTAATAATAATCTCTTTGCCTTCTACAACTCATGAACTCACTACCTAGTTTGCTATCTGTCATGCCTCAGAATTTGCGTTAACTCTTAGGTTCAAACAAGTGTCAAAGACAAGAGCATTTTACTTCATACTTATATCTTTGTGTTTATATATGTGTGTTTGTACTACAAATCAGATAGTATGTCTCTGCTTGCTTGAGCGGGCCCAGTAACGTCTCCATTGGAGACTTTGTTGTTATTGTGTCTGGCATATCGGGTGCGGACGAGATAGTCTCGGTAGCTTGCCGGGCTCTCCGAGAGGGGTGGAGGAATCGAACTCGGGTCGGCCATGTTGACTGCGTGCAAGGCAAACGCCCTACCGCTGTGCTATCCTTTTAGAACTGCTTTAAAATATTTTCAGACCTCTACTGAACTGTGAAATTTTATGCAGCACTTAGAATATTTATTTTGAACTGTCATCTATGACTTGAGCTACCATTGAATTTTGGAATTGTAAGAATTCAGTGTTTGCCTGTAGACATTGTGGATTAAAACCCAAAGAATCTGGAGAAGGAAGTCAAAGAGAACATAGTATCATGAACATTTATTTATTGCTGTTAAATAGACTTTATAAAACTAAATATAGTGAGTTCTCTCTTAATGTGATTTGTCCTCTTTAAACAATTTTGGACATGCACACCACACACACAAACACACACACACACACACACATCAGAGAGAGAAAGAGAGAAGCTAAAAGAGATACAGTTAAGATAAAGGTAGCGTAAATTCAAAGTCATTTTCATTAGTGTCCAGAAAAAAGTGTGGAGTGGCATATTTGAAATTATCAGTGTCAGTTACATTTTTGGAAATTTTAAGTCAGATAATTTTAAAATACAGATGTTATTCTGTATTTTAAAATTAATTTCCTGCTCTTTGTAAGAAAGATTTAAAAATAGTGTGTCCTAATTTGATGCATGTAAAAGTTAAATTGGTTATCTTTATTTTTCTGCTTTTGGGGTAACACCCAGTGATGCTAGGGGTTACTCCTGGCTCTGCACTCAGGAATTACTCCTGGTGGTGCTCGGGCGACCATATGGGATGCTGGGAATTGAATCCAGGTTAGCCGCGTGCAAGGCAAACACCCTACCCTCTTCTTATATCTCTATGTATTTAACAGAAGTGAAAATGCTTTTAAATAGTTGTGCTTTCCCCATCTTGTATCAAATTTGTCCTGCATATATTCAAAAGTATTAAGTCCTTCTGTTTCCTCCTATCATTCTAGGTATTATGGGAATATGAGGTTTGAGTGTTAGAAAATAATTCTCTTTGTTCTCTCAAATTTAAATCTAACCACCCGAGTTGTATAAATTTCCTGTCTCTCACTTTTGCATTCTGTTTGCTTCAATAGGTCGGGCTCCTCCTCGCAACACCACAGTGGACCTCAACAGCGGCAACATAGATGTGCCCCCGAACATGACCAGCTGGGCCAGCTTTCACAACGGCGTTGCTGCCGGCCTCAAGATCGCCCCTGCCTCCCAGATTGACTCTGCATGGATTGTGTACAACAAGCCCAAGCATGCTGAGCTGGCCAATGAGTATGCAGGCTTTCTCATGGCCCTGGGTCTGAATGGCCACCTCACTAAGCTGGCTACTCTCAACATCCATGACTACCTAACCAAGGTGAGAGGTTGTGCTCCCAGTCCCTGGGGCTGTGGCTTGCCTGGACTCTTGTCGCTGCCTCTCATCCTTCATTCTCTCTTCTTTACTCTTGTCTCTCAAAAGACGTTCTTATAGCAGGGGGACCTCTCTGCCCTGAGAATTCAAGTGTATCTCTTCCCTGGTCAGAGCAGTGTCAGGATCTGCGTCTCCTAATTCAGGGCCCTTGCCCTGCTCACTGCTCGAACATTCTTCCTCTGTACACACTCCCACCTTACGAACTAGCTGTTTAGTTTCATGGTCGACCAGATCTTCTGATTGTCTTGGCATAAGCACTTCCACTTCCATGCATAAACACTCATTTAAAGTCTGGAGCTAAGTGGTTTTTGATACTCATTTTCTGTATTGATTACTGATATGACTGTCATAATTAATAATGGTTTCATACTCACAAATAGGAGCCTCACAACTGTCACTCAGTGGGCTGAGTGTTGCCGGGAATGGCACCTGGTCTTCCTGAGCACTGCTTGGGACACCCTCTAACCCCCAAATGCTTTTTCTCCTTCAGTAGGGCACTAACTTCATGAGCATATTACCTGTTCTGTTTGCTGTTGTGTTCTTGATGCTTCTCACTGTACGTGGCAGTATTTAAGACTGCATATTTATTTTTGGAGTGACTTTCTGCTTTCTGCCTTAGGGCCATGAAATGACAAGCATTGGACTCCTCCTTGGTGTTTCTGCTGCTAAACTAGGCACCATGGATATGTCCATCACCCGACTTCTCAGCATTCACATTCCTGCTCTCTTGCCCCCCACATCCACGGAGCTGGACGTTCCTCACAATGTCCAGGTGGCTGCGGTGGTTGGCATTGGCCTCGTCTATCAGGGAACAGCTCACAGACATACGGCAGAAGTTTTGCTCGCTGAAATAGGTACAGTAGCAACAGTGCTGTGTCTTCCTCAGCATACTTTTTGCAGGCTATGGAACCAAAATAACATGATAGGAAAATTGCCAAAAAAGTATGGCAAAAGCAGTAATGCTGGTGAGCACAGAATGATCTGATACTTTAAAAAAAAAAAAATCCCAACCAGAAACCTACAAGTAAGTTTTCAAAGCCGATAATGGCATGCAGGTAATTAATCTGATAATGTGTGCAGATTTGTTTGGCTATCCAGTGTTGGACTCCTATGATTTCGTGTAATGAACCTGCCCGGGGTCTCAGTCACACGTTATCATTATCATGCTCATTTGCCTGCTTGTCTCTAACAGGCAGTGCCTACCAGTCATGTGCCACTTAAAGTCAGTTAAAGTTGAAGTGATTGACTTTTGCTCTCTTCCTGTGTGCTGGTGGGTGTGTTGCTCATCAAATGCATTTTCTGTTTTTCAGTTGGACCTCAACTTTTAGGATCAATATATGTAAATTGATAATATAGTAGAGATTGTATATAAATGATCTCTATAGATAAAGGTAAAGGCCCTCCCATTGATCATCGATTTGCTCGAGCGGGCCCAGTAACGTCTCCATTGGAGACTTTGTTGTTACTGTGTCTGGCATATCGAATACGTCACGGGGAGCTTGCCAGGCTCTGCCGTGCGGGCGAGATACTCTCGGTAGCTTGCTGGGCTCTCCGAGAGGGGCGGAGGAATCGAACTCGGGTCGGCCATGTTGACTGTGTGCAAGACAAACACCCTACCGCTGTGCAATAAAATAAATATTTGGGAGACAGACAGATTACAGGGGTTAAGGTGCTTGCCTTGAATGCAGTTAACCCTGGTTCCATCCCTGGCACCAAGAAATATCCAGAATGATCCCTGGCATGGAGCCAGGAATAAACCTGAGTAATGCTGGATATACAACCTCCCCAGATGTTTGGAAATATATCTAATATGCTTAAAGGAACTATCTTTTCTATATATTATTGGTATTTTAGCATGTTTTTTACTACTTATCTGTGGATTTAAAAATAACAAAAGAACAAAAAGCAAGAGATTGACTTTTTTTTTTTTTGAACATTCCTTCCTTTAAAAATGTCCCATTTCTTGGTGATTAAAAATGAATTTGGGGCTGGAGTGATAGCACAGCGGGTAAGGCGTTTGCCTTGCATGCAACCAACATGGCCGACCCAGGTTCGATTCCCAGCATCCCATATGGTCGCCTGAGCACCGCCAGGAGTGATTCCTGAGTGCATGAGCCAGGAGTAACCCCTGAGCATCGCCAGGTATGACCCAAAAAGGAAAAAAAAATGAATTTAAGGTTTCAATGTTTAAAAGTCATTACTTTCAAATTAGCCAAGTAAAATAACTTTAGGGGGCCTTATATTATCTAAATTGACAGTTGGAGATACTGTTTATGGTAATTTTCTATCTTTCTGAGTAAGATCATACTGCAGACAGTTTTTAAATGCAGCTTACTAGAAATTTAATTCTCTGACTTTTGCAGGCAGTAATTTTCAAAGGCCCTCTTGGACTTTATTGCTTTGTTTTCTAGGCCGGCCCCCTGGCCCTGAGATGGAATACTGTACTGACCGAGAGTCCTACTCGGTAGCTGCTGGCCTGGCCCTGGGCATGGTTTGCTTGGGGGTGAGTCTCCTCTGTGTTTTATCTGCATATTGAATGGATGCCTTTGACACTTTACCTGATCCTGGCTCAACATCATTTTCACCTGTTTCTTCTTCTTTTATTTGTTTCTGGGCCACTCTTATCTAAGCTCAGGGATCACTTACACCTGGCTCAGGGATCACTCCTGTTGGGTCTCAGTGTACGATATGGGGTGCTGGGGATCGAACCCAGCCAGCTGTGTACAAGGCAAGGACCTTTTCTGTTGTACTATCAATTCGGCCCCCTTAACTGTTTCTGGATATTTTCTAGTGTGTCAAGTTTGGGAATGGAAGGAGATTATAGTGAAAAATTAAGCGTTAAATTTTCCTCATAATTCAGGGGTTAAATGTTCATCTGTGAATAGAGAGGATGAAGTTTCTTGAATGAGGTCAAAACATAAGATGAAGTAATAGTAATAGTTTACTTGACAAAAAATAGAAATTAGCGAAAATGTGCATATGATGGGGAATCTGTAGTAGTTGCTGGATGTAAACCAGAACCTTCTGTTGATACCCTGCTGTTCACGGGTATCTCCAAAGCAACCCAGTGGCTCCAAGGGCATTTGCTTTGTAAGAGACTACAGAATCTCTCTGCCCCATCTTGAGCCTTGTTCAAAAACCAGAGCGTAGAATTACCAAAATTGTTTCATTAGGTGAGGATATCAGCTAGAGTGCAGGTCCCTTGAAGATGCTTTAATATGGTATTCTATTAAACCTAAATTGTATGAAGAGCATTGTTGGGCCAGAGAGATAGTACAACAGGCAGGGTGCTTGCCTTGCATGTGGTTGACCCGTATTCCATCCCCAGTGCTACATATGTCCTCCTGAGCACTTCTACGATTGATTCTTGAGCACAGAGCCAGGAGTAAGCCCTGAGCACTGCTTGGCCCCCGTACTCCATCAAAAAATAAAGTTGAGTTTTGAGTCTTTCCATTTGACACATAAAGAGACAGATGGTACAATAGACAAACATAATATTTGAAGTTCATTGAAGTGAATCATGGCACTTCATTGTTGTTTTGTCTGGTGATTAAGCAGCTCAATAGGCTGGTACCAAACTGCTTGTTTTATGTCCACCTCTGCCACTGGCTGTGACCTTGGGCTTATCACTTTGTACCCCACTTGCCCCATTTATGTAATAGTAATTCGCTGACAGAGTTGTCAGAACAAATAGTGTAATCCAAGTTAAACATGTTGTAGTGCCTTGATGCCAAAAAAAGTAAATTATTTTTGTTGTAATAGTTGCTGTTGTTGGAATAGTTCATAGGTACAATAGTGAAAGGATCATACTCAATATTCAGTTTTCATACCCTATATTTTCTTTCACTGTTAGTAAAGTTAGGTTTTTTGAGACCTTCATGTAGTTTATGGAAATATTGGCTTCAGCATGTGGTAATTTGTAATCATAGTTATTGATAGTTATTTTTTTTAACTCTAAGTATTAAGTCAACGTGGAAAAAAAAAATCAGAACCAAAAACGCCCTGATATACAGTTTGTTCATTCTTTTGTCATAGTATGCATTGTGGATCATATTTCTTTAGATTTGCTTTGATGTAACTGTTATTTTGTCTTTTAGCATGGCAGTAATTTGATCGGTATGTCTGATCTGAATGTCCCTGAGCAGCTGTATCAGTACATGGTTGGAGGTCATAGACGTTTTCAAGCAGGAATGCATAGGGAGAAGCACAAATCTCCAAGCTATCAGATCAAGGTAAGTCCCAGTCAAAGGAAAAGATCAAAGTTCGGAATCCGAGAAGTTAATTCAAAAATAGTTTTCACACCAACTTTCATATGGATTTTAAGTCGGACTGATCTTCAGAAGAATTATATTATTCAAAGCTCTTCATTAGTCTTTTACTCTTCGTGTTTATTTTAATAGGAAGGAGATACCATCAATGTGGATGTAACCTGCCCAGGTGCCACTCTAGCCTTGGCGATGATCTACTTAAAGACTAACAACAGGTATTACATCCCAAGCTCTTTTCCCCATGCTGCACTAGAAAGATTTTTTTAAATCTCGAAATGCCACATTTTTGTTTGTTTCGGGCCACATCCAGCAGTGTTCAGGGCTTACTCCTGGCTGACCTTGGAGGAATATAAGTGGTGCTGGAGATTGAACCCTGGTAGGCCAGATGCAAGGCAAGCACCTTACCTACTATACTATCTCTCCAGTGCCAAGACATTTTTCAGTGTTGTAAATTCTTCAACATTGAAGATTTTGTATAACTTGCTAATTATACAAAATTAGCAAAGTGTTGAAAAACATTTACTGTCCTATACTTTGGATACTTGTGTCTGTTCTTTCATGTTACTAGAGATATTTCAGTGAATGAAACAAAACTAAAAACACCTTTCTTCATATACATATATAAAATAATTATTACATTAGTGGCTACTAAAGTCTGTGAAAAACACAGAGGAGTAGACAGATATGTTTTGAACTCTTGGAATATCTTGGGGTTCTTGATTATCTTGCCTTCTCCAAATGCTCACTTGCTGTTTTTCCATCAATAGATCCATTGCAGATTGGCTTCGAGCTCCTGATACCATGTATTTGCTGGACTTTGTGAAACCAGAATTTCTTTTGCTTAGGGTATGATAATTTGCAGTTCTGAATTCTGTCAATATGGAGGGGAAGGGGCCTATCTGTCGTTCTCATGTTTAGCTTGCAAATATCACTTTTTTGGTAAGGCTCCTGAAAATAACCTCTGATCTAATTAGCATCGCTCAGGGTGCCTGTGGCCATTCCTAGATAAATTCCCATATTTAACTTGGTCAAATGGGCCACACTGTTCAGTGCTCAAACTGGACCTGCCAATGCTGTGCCACCTGGGCCTTGCTGCTTTGTCCTGGTGGTGTTGGGGACCCCCAGGGCCACACTTGACAGTGCTCAGGGTCATGTGATGGGGATCCATTGTGAGTCCTTGTGCATGCCAGGCACACGTCCCTCACCTCTATACCAGCCTCATTTCCTCCCCTTTCGAGAGACCATATTTTGCTGTGCCCTGGGGCCTTGGGATACTCTTCAGGGGTGCTAGAGAAAAGGGAGGGCCCTCTCTCCGATTCTGGTTCCTTAATGAGATCTTGAAATCTTACATGTTTTTACTGTACGGCGGCCTCAAAATTAAGTAGATCTTTGTTAGAAATTTGTAAACATTGCCCTGCTCTAACTTAATTTTACCTCTGTTGTATGTTTAAGACTCTTGCTCGATGCCTGATTTTGTGGGATGACATCTTGCCAAATTCCAAATGGGTTGATAGCAACGTTCCTCAAGTAAGTTTATGTAATAAATGTTAATGTATCTTTGATAGCATCAAGTTAGGATTTCTTGGGTGATTTTCCGAAATTCTCTTCTTAGGAGAGCAAAGTTGATTATCGCAGTATCATGAAAACATGGGGACTTGGTGTTCGGGCCACATGTGGCGGTGCTGAGGAGCTTCTTCCCGCTCGTTGCCCAGGAGTCCTTTCTGCGTAGACAGGCCGTGCCTGGGCGCCTTGCGTGCAGAGCCCGCCTCACAACCTTGGAACTTTCATTTTTAAGATTGTGTGTTGACACAGATCATGGCCTCTCTTTTCAGTGCCAGATCCCTAGAATTACAGTTTTTGTTGTTGGTTGTTTTGTTCTTTGGGCCACACCTGGCAGTTCTCAGGGCTTCCTCCTGGCTCTCCATTCAGGAATTACTCCAGGCAGTGCTTAGGGGATCATGTGGGATGCTGGGGATCGAGCCGGGTCGACCGTGTGCAGGGCAAGCACCCTCCCTGCAGTACTATTTTTCCAGCCCCATTATGTTTCTTTTTAAAGGGCCCTTAAAATATATGCTAGGTTGATTCTTTGCAGACGCCATTGGTGAGGTGCTCCTGCGGTTGGCTGCAGTGCTCTCTGGGCTCATGCTTGGTTGTGGTGCCCCAATGGGCACACACCTTGTGGTGGCGTGGGGATCCCAGCACAGTGCGTGTTGGGTGGTGCAGGGGATTGCTCTCATGACTTCTAGTCTGCCAGGTAGCCAGGTGCTCAGTTCTGGGGCTTCTTCGACCTCTCATCTCAACCTGTCATCTCAAAGAAGTATGGCCCTTTGACTTTTAGTGTAGACATTTGTGACTTTTCTTTCATTCAGACTGAAATCACTGAAAATAGGGTCTTTATGATAATAGCACATGGAGTAAGTTCACAGTTCTAGTCGGTGATGTTTTTGTCACCCCACATTTCTTCTAGTTTCCCTCTACTTACTTTCATGAACTCTAGCAGAGCTCGTGGCAGGGAGCAACTTGAATCAAATGGGGCTTCACTTTATAAGTTGTTGGCTTCAGCTTAAGGTGTGTTATAATAACAAGCATTTTCTAGCATTTTTTTCCTTCATATAAATCTTTAAGGGCTGGAGTGGTAGCACAACGGGTAGGGCATTTGCCTTGCACGTGGTCGACCTGGGTTCAATTCCCCGCATCCCATATGGTCCCTTGAGCACCACCAGGAGTAATTCCTGAGGGTAGAGCCAGGAGTAACCTCTGTGCATCGCAGGGTGTGACCCAAAAAAGCAAAAGCAAAAAAAAAAAAAAAAGAAATCTCCTTCATAGAAATCTTTGCAATGCTGTAATGTAAGTTGTTCAAGTGTTGCCTTTTCTCTATGAGTGGGAAAAAGTACTATTTTTTTTAAGCGTTCTTTTTGCTTTTGACTTAGGATTGGTAGGTGCTTAGGACTTATTCCCATCTTTGTGCTCAGGGGTTACTCCTGGCAGTGCTTGGGAATTGAACTTGGGTTGGCCACAGGCAAAGTGTCTTAACCCCTGTAATATCTCTCCACTCCCACAACTTACTATTTTTGATGATTTGTATGTGTGTTCATTAGACTACGAACTCAGAATCATCTTTTATGCCTTTTTCATCTTTCATGCCTAGTAACTAGTGAACAGTAACTAGAGCTAAGTACATTGTTGTTCTGTGAAAGAAGAAAATCTGCTCCAAAATCACCCGTCAGAAAGGGTGGGTTAAGTTATTGCTATAATAAACACTATGTTATTCTCCAAATTATGATAAACTTGTAACTCATATTAATGTTTAAAGATTTCACTTTCTGTTTTGACAGATTATAAGAGAAAATAGCATATCTCTCAGTGAAATTGAATTGCCCTGCTCAGAGGATTTGAATTTGGAAACATTGTCGTAAGTCATACATCTAATGCAAATCATTATCTTACAAATCATTATCCTTACAGTTCTAAGATTAATGGAAATTTGCTTCTACACAAGAGTGTAGATAGTGCACTACTAATATACTGTGCTGTCTTCTACATAGTAGAAGTACTGTCCTTAATGTGAGTCAGTTGAGATTATTCTGTACCCCCTAGTTTCTAACCCCTACTTACCAGATGTCTAGAGAATAAATTTGGAGATTGAATATCTCCGTTTAAAGACATGGGCAGTTTTGAGTTTTAAAAGTCATCTCTTTCTGCTGTGTATGGAATCCTGTAGGCAGGTGGCACCCTTGATTGGGAGGCACACATGGTACTTTTGCTGATGAGAGCAGCACCCAGGTCTGCTTACTGAGTTAAAGGCACAAGAGGATATTCATTCCCAGAAACATGCAGACTTGCTGAGAGGCTCGGGATGTTTGTTAATTTTGTCCCAGATTATGATAATAATGGTACGTCATTAAGCAAAATCGTGGCAGTGAATCTTGAATCATCTGTTTTCAGACAAGCACACGTCTACATCATCGCAGGAGCCTGCTTGTCTCTGGGCTTTCGGTTTGCTGGATCAGAGAATTTATCTGCATTTAACTGTTTGGTAAGAAGTGGATTAATTTACTGCTTTGTCCTCTTTTTAATAACATGTTTTCATGCTTTTATAACTTGGAATTTTTTTTCTCTCCCCCCCAGCATAAATTTGCAAAAGATTTTATGACATATTTGTCTGCACCCAATGCTTCTGTAGTAAGTCTTTTATGATTTTCCTTGGGTAGAAAATTAAATGTAAAAATAATTCTCTGATAATTCAGGCACCCTCTGTACTGTCAAATATCTGTGCTGTTTGAACTTAGATTCAAATTTGGGAAATTTGAAGCTTTGTCTTTGCATTTTTGTACTGGGATAATAAATTATCCCAGATATTAAATCATATTTTCATATAAATGCCCTTAATGTACAAGGTACCAATTCTTGTGGCTGGAGAATAAGTAAGAAAGACGAACTTTCACGGGCCATCATTCCACATGCAGTTCTTTTTTTCTCAGGATTGAAGATTAGTAATGTGCTTTTGAGAAATGTGTAGTAGTTAGTAAAGTTGGAACTTCTTTTGAGCTATTTCTTTTCTGAATGCAAGCTTACAATATTTTATTTTTGGTAAAAACCACACAGATCTCTGCAAAGGTTATTTATAATATGAAAAAAAAAATGGGCAACATCAGAAAGTCAAAAAATAATGCTGGAGAGATAGTGCAGGGGTTCATTGAGGCACATTGAAGCTGAGACCTTGCATGCAACTGACCACAGTTTCATCTCTGACACCCTATGGTCCTCTCAACACTGCCAGGGCTGGCCCCGGGTAGCACTTGGGTGTGCCACTCTGGCAATATTTTGTCTAAAATTTTTTTAGGTTGATTATGGCATAATCATGTGTCATTGTACAGTGGAACTGCACTGGAGCTGTAAAGAATCATGTACTTTTAAGAATTTTTTATGACTTTTCCTATATAGATTCAAAAGGTTAAGAATAATATATAATCTTATTTGATGTAAGACTAGACACAGGAAATGACTTGGAGAGAAAAAAGCCAAATGTTAACAGCTCCTCTATCTGAAGAATAATTTTCAAGTAATTATTATTTCCTTTTTTGATACTCTTCTGCATTTTCTACATTGAATATGTATTTCATTACAGAGAAAGTAGTTTATTTTCATAAATCATAAACATTTAAAAATATTTGAAGTTTTCTAATGCTCGCAGATTTACTTTGATAATAAAGAGAAGTGTGATAACAGCAGTTGTATCTTTCACTTATCTACTTTATTTATAATCATCTTTGCATTTTTTTTCTTTCTTCTTTTTTTTTTTTCATCTTGGCATTTCCAGACAGGACCTTACAATCTAGAAACCTGTCTGAGTGTGGTGCTTCTGTCTCTTGCCATGGTGATGGCTGGCTCAGGGAACTTGAAGGTTTTGCAGATTTGTCGCTTTTTGCACATGAAAACAGGTGGTGAAATGAATTACGGTTTCCACTTAGCCCACCACATGGCCCTTGGACTTCTGTTTTTGGGAGGAGGAAGGTAAGCAAATTATGTATATATATTCAAATGACTTCATGTCAAGATTCACTGGAGTCACATTTATTTATGTATTTATATTTTATTTCATAAAGTTGTTCACAATAATTGATTACATCCAATATTTCAACACCAGTCTCACCACCATTACTCCTTCCCATCACCATTATTATTTTGTATTGCTTGTTATGAGTAGTACGAGATGTCTGTAAGGGTCTTATCTCACAGTGATTCAACAAAACAGTTTTAAAAAATAGTGTGCTTCTGGAATTCTAAAATTTTAAATAATTAGAATCTGGAGACATCTCTGCAGGAAACTGCTCTGTTCGGAGATTCATCTGAGTCTCGGGATCATGGCCACTTCTGTGCTTAAATGGTACCCGGAGGCAGCTTGTGAGCGTGATAACCAGGACCCTGGAAGATCGGGACGGCCCATTCCCAGTTCCTTGAGGCCTGTAGTTTTCAGTCACTGGGCCTGCATACCTGGGTTTTTTAGTGGATTCATTCCTTGCGTGGGGGGCCCGGGATGAGCTTGTCTAGATCGGTCGGCCATGAGCGTGGCGGTGATTGGTTTCTGGAGGTTTGCGACTGCCAGGGTTCATTTGGAGCAGGTGGAGGGACAATGCCTGCTCCCATCTGAGGCCCCCGGTGGAATCAACCTGGTGCAAGGTCTGGAGACATCTACAGTGGGCTGCTCTGTTGGAGATTAATTTGTGAGTCTAGGGCTGGAGCGATAGCACAGCGGGTAGGGCGTTCGCCTTACAAGCGGCCAACATGGCCGACCCTAGTTCGATTCCTCCGCCCCTCTCGGAGAGCCCGGCAAGCTACCGAGAGTATTCAATATGCCAGACACAGTAACAACAAAGTCTCCAATGGAGACGTTACTGGGCCCGCTCGAGCAAATCGACGATCAACGGGAGGGCCTTTACCTTTACCTTAGAGTGATATTTAAGACAAGTTTTGTAGGTTTATTTAAACATCGTGATTTACGAAGTTGCTCACAATGTAGTTGTTTCAGGTATTCAGTATTCCAACACCAGTTCCACCACCAATATGCCCGTCCCTATGCCAGTGTCCTTAGTTTCCCATCCACCCCTCGAAGCCTGTTCCTTTAGCTCTGTAGCAATGTCCTCCCATTGTTCATCAATTTGTCGAGCGGGCACCAGTAACGTCTCACAACAAATTGTGAGACTTTGTTGTTACTGTATTTGGCATATTGAATGAATATGCCACGGGGAGCTTGCCAGGCTTTGCCTTGCAGGCGAGATACTCTTGGTAGCTTGCTCGGCTTTCCGAGAGGATAACTTTAGCAGGTTCTAATTAATTTACTTTATATTCCTTTTTACAACATACATCTCGTAATGATGTTGCTAAAGTCATGGTCTGAGGATTTATTAACTGTTAGGTGTAAGTTGGACCTTCTGTGTTAATTGATTGGTTTTACTCATTAAGCTTAGTGGGCTTCTGCTCAGTGTTTCCTTCTGATGTTATTGTTTCTCCTGGCCTGTTAGCTCTGTGAAGTTTGGAGGTATTGTGTGGTTGCATGTGCAGCTGTTTGCTTCAGGGACTTTGGAACTGGCATGATCAACTGTAGGTGTCTCTCTGGCCTCTCTGAGATTGTTTCTGAAGCTGGGCCTTTTCTCTGGCAGCAGTGGGAGCTGAATGTGGGTGGTGGACCTTTGACAGTGCTGGACCTTTGACAGGACCGGGACTCGGTCTGTTCCCATCCAGCCTAGCTCCAGAGATCTAGGCAGCCAGGCCTACTTGGCCTGACTCAGTTGCCGCCATCCCTCTGAGAACAGTCTTGAGGCTGGACTTTTTTCTGCCAGTGCTAGAGTGACATTTTTATCTTGAAGAGACACTAAGCTTCCATTCTGACTAGCAAGAGATACTGTTAACACTGAAAGGTTTTTCTTTTTAAATTCCATTTTGTCCTGTTTATCAGTGTTTGGGTGAAGCACCTCCTGCTCCCTGCTGTTTAATGATTTGACCCTTCCATTTGACCACTTTCTCCAAAAGGCCACGAGCAGTATCAGTCACCAGATTCTGAGATTTTTTTTTTTTAGTTTACAACTTTTTTTTTTAACCTGCTTTCCAATTTCTGACTACCACCTCACTTCTCTGGCTTGGGCCAGAGAGATAGTACACTGGGTAGGGCATTTGACTTCCTATGGGTGATTAATTTCAATCCCTGATACTGATAAATAGTACCACCAATGCTCCTAAGTGCTTGCAGAATTTTCCACACCCACCAAATGGAATAGAATGTTCCATTTGCTCTCCATCTTTGTCAGTATTTGGTATTATATTCTTAATTTTCCCACCTGATGATCTCTTACTGTGATTTTTATTTTTACTTCTCCCATTAGTTCAGCACCCTTTTAATTTTATTTCCTTATAATATAAAATTTTAATACCTCTGTAATATGATAAAAATTTATTCTATTCACTTTCATATCTATTTTTCAGTTTTATTTGTGGCAAAATACATGTAAATAATATATTTAAAAAAAAAAAGTAGGACTCAAAGACCAACTGGAAAGTGAAACATTCACGTCATTAGCACATTTGCTTCAAGACATTTCCTCAGCATGCCTGCCCCAGGACCCGTTTCCTGGTTCTAGAATGAACGCTTTGCGAGTTTGTGTGGTGGGTCCATCTGCTGCCCCTCCCTGTTTTGCAGGTACTCCTTGAGCACGTCCAACTCCTCCATTGCCGCTCTCCTGTGTGCCCTGTACCCGCACTTCCCAGCTCACAGCACTGACAACCGGTGAGTGTGTCTGCCTCAGAGTGCTCTTGCTTCCGTTCCTGAAGGGACTGTTGGATTGTGTTCTGGTTCTGGGGACTGGTTTCCGATATAGCTGTATTAACTTAGTTATTTCTCTGGCCAAGTCTTTTTTAAAGTTCCGCTTGCAAAGTTTTAGTTTAGAAGAGAATCTTGGACATTGACTGACTTCCGTGTCTTTCATCAGTCTCCAAAGAGCGGACCTGCTCTAAATACAGAAGTCATTCAAACAATGATGTCTTTTTTAAAAAATTTTTTTTATGTATCACAATCACAACCATCCTGTTATTTGTCGATTGCCTCAAGCAGGCCCCAGTAACGTCTCCTTCGTCCTAGCCCTGAGATTTTTTTTTTTTTAAAGTGCCATATTCAAGGCTCTTTCAGAGTTAGGAGAATGAGACCCTTCATTGTTACTGGTATTTGGCATATTGGGTACGCCACGGGGAGTTTGCCAGACTCTGCTGTGTGGGCAGGTTACATTCGATAGCCTACCAGGTTGTCCAGAGTAAGAATAAGATGATGTCGCGCAGCCGCAAATGCGTGCTTCCAGGAGCTGAGTTTTCTAGTCTCTGGGTCTTGGCCGTTGATGGAATTACACGGCGCCAGGGGGTCAGTTGGTGGGTGTGACCTCCGCCTACTGGAATTTGGAGGATCTGGGTGGAGGATGCTCAGCCCCGATCCGAGTAGGCTTGGAGATCTCAGCTCCGGGATCCGTGTGCCTTTGTTCCTCTGCCGGTACTTTCATGTGTGTGGAGAGTAGTCCCACCATGGTAGTGGCTGGTTCTGGAGGTCTTGTGCTGCCGGAGCCCTGGTCGGGGCGGGGAGGAAAACTCAACCCGTTCCCCTCCAAGGGGCCCCGGCGAGGACGGCCAGGCGCGGGGGCATAAGGCGGGCATAAGACTCTGCGCTGTTTTTTATGTAGGAGTACTGCTATTTATTCAGTCACTGGTTAGCTGATTGAATTGTGCATGAACTCCACCTTACTTTTTTTAAAATTTTTTATAATTTTATTTATTGAATCACTGTGAGAGCAGTTACAAAGCTTTCGGGTCTAAGTCTCGGTCATACAATGAAACACCCGTTCCGTCACCAGTGCCCAATCTCCACCACCAAAACCCCAGTATACCCCATCCAACACCCTCCCCCTACCTGTGGGGCAGATGATTTCCACATTACTCTCTCTCCTTTGATCACATTCAATATTTTGACACCAGACCCACCGTTATTACTTGAGATTTTACCCCAGCACTCAGATCTGCTGAAAAGGCAACAGTATACAATTTGTTTCCTGTTGCTGGTTATGAATAACATGATGTCGCATGGCTGCAGTAGTGGCCGCGTGATTTTGAAATTCCAAAATTTTAACTTAAATCTGGAGGGATTTCTGCCAAAAACTGCTGGGTTCCAAGGTTTGCTCCTGAGTCTCTGGGATCATGGCCATTAAGCAATTTGATCAGGAGCCAGAAAGGCCGTTCGTGAGCGATGACTTGGGGTCTCGTTGGGGTGGGGAGGACCGGACCAGCTCCACCCCCATCCTGTGAGGCCCAAAATGTCTCAACACTGGGGGCCCAAACCTGATTGTCCAATGGCCTCTGAAGGATGACGGCCACCGAGCCACCAGGGGGAAGCAGGCGGAGGGACAACACTCTTTCTCTTCTGGGGTGGCCCAGCAACAGTAACCTACTGTGGGGTTCGATGCATTTCTGCCAAAAGCTGCTGGGTTTCGAGATTTGTTTCTGAGTCTCTGGGATCATGGCCGTTAAGCAGTTTGTTCAGGAGCCAGAGAGGCTGTTCATGGATGATAACTTGGGGTCTCGTTGGGACGGGGAGGACAGGAGCGGCTCCACCTCCATCCCATGAGGCCCAATAAGTTTCGTCACTGTGGGCCCAAACCTGACTGTCCAGTGGCCTCTGGAGGATGACGGCCACTGAACTGCCAGGGGGAATCAGGCGGAATGACAACACCCTTTCCCCTCTGGGGTGGCCCGGCAACAGTAACCTACTGTGGGGTTCAACGCATTTCTGCCAAAAGCCACTGGGTTTCGAGATTTGTTTCTGAGCCTCTGAGATCATGGCTCTTAAGCAGCTTGATCCGGAGCCAGAGAGACAGTTCGTGGGCGATGACTTGGAGTCTCAGGCTGGAGAGGACAGGATTGGCTCCACCTCTATCCCATGAGGCCCTGCGCATCTCGTCACTGCGGGCCCAAACCTGACTGTCCAGTGGCCTCTGGAGGATGGTGGCCACTGGGCCGCCAAAGGGAACAGGCCAAGGCATGAAACCTATTCCCACCTGGGTTGGCCCAGCACCGGTAACCTACTGCAGGGACAGGAAGCATTTCTGCCAAAAGCCGCTGGGTTTCGAGATTAGTTTCTGAGTCTCTGGGATCATGGCCATTGAGCAGTTCAATCAGGAACCAGAGAGGCCATGCCTCCAATTATATAGCTGAGCCAGAGGTGGTTTGTGGGTGTGTGTCCCACATACCTAACTTTTGGCCGTTTACTTTCTTGGTAAACTTTGCCCCAAGGTTTTGGGGTCTGGCCAAAGGCACAGCAGCAATTTGGGGTATCTGGAAGTCTGAAGGTGCCATCAGGCTGCTAATGCACTCACCTCACAGGTACAGATTGACCTGCTGGCGGCACCATACCCCCACAATGATGTCTTTAGGGGGAAATTTATGAAGCAAAGAAACAGGACCCAAAAGAAGCAAATTGAAGACAAGAGGCTTTATAATCGAATTGTCTCATTCCAAGAGAGGAATTCGTCTGATTTAGTGTCAGTGTCTTCGTAAATCCTTCCCCCCCCCCCTTTTTTTGTTTTGTTTTGTTTTGGGGCCATGCCTGACAATGCTCAGGAACTACTGGCAGTACTTGGGGACCTTGTGGGATACCAGGAATTGAACCTGGGTTGACTTTGTGTAAGGCAAGTGCCCTAACTTCTGTACTATCTCTCCGAACCCCTTTGCTTTCCTCCTTTTTAATGAGTGCTTGAAGATTTCATAAATGACAGCAGAGACAAGGAAAATCGTATAGCCCCCCAAAAAATAATTAATTCAGAAGTGACCCTGAAAGGTAGAACGTCAGAAACAAAACAGTCTGTGAAAATACAGAAGCTCTGCATTGTAGAGCGCAGAGAACCACAGCGAGACTGTCACCCCTGTAGGTTCCAGTGACCATAGTGCTGTCCTGAGGCAGCTTTGACACCTGCCTGGATGTGGAGCTCCCGTGGCAATGATGATATCATCATGTTTAAACCCTCATGATACAGATCCAATGATAAAAGAAAAATCACTCTTCTGCAAAAGCAGCCTGACTTGAACTCCAAACCTGGTGATGGGCAGCATTGAAGGCTATTGTTAACTTCATGTCTCTGACTTGTGATCCCTTGCTTGTCAGCTTAGAAAAGATGTTTGGAGTCATTGAAGTTGGTTATTCATTAGTGGGCACAGCAGACAATCATGTTCATATACTGGTCATCACAGCAGCAGTTGCCTTTGCTATTTGCAATAGCGCAATTCGGTAATAAGCACCAAAAAGTCTTTATATAAAGTAACAAAAACCAGGTATTTTTGGCCTTTGTTGATTTTATTTTTGCTAGATATATAAAACTTGGTAGGTTTGGGTGGGAAGGGTAGGTTTGTTATCTTTATTTTAGATAAATAAAAAACCCTTCCCACCCAAACTAAAATAAAGATAACAAAATTAGAAATCTTATTTTATCCTTTCATGGAATCTTAAAAATGTGATAAATGTATATTTAAATTCTGAGGTAAAAAAAAATCAGAGTTTGAAGCATTGTTTCAAAACACAGAAAGAAAAATACTGTTACAGTCCTATCCATTAATTTTTGCTATTCTGTTTTAGGAGGTATATATCTTGGTAGATAGGAGTGTTGGAGAAAAACTGACTCTTACTTTCCCTGCTCAAAAACAACAACAGAGAAGAATGAACTAGTTGTAAATCCCTTAGAACTTGACTACATTGATGAGAAAAGCTACTGGAGAACTGATCTTTCCTATAAATTTTGTATCGGAGAAAACTTAATGGCTAGGTCAAGAGAATTTCTCCTTTACTTTTCCGTCGAGTTTCACCTTCCTTTAGGGCTGTTGTCATAGCGAGAGACTACTGTGGCCTCTGTCTTGATTCAGCATTCTCAACAGACTGGAGACAGAGACCCCAACAGCTGGGTCCTGTTTGTCAGCTCTTCTGTGTTTCCTGTCCAGGTATCACCTGCAGGCTCTCCGGCACCTGTACGTGCTGGCTGCCGAGCCGAGACTTCTGGTCCCTGTGGATGTCGATACAAACACGCCCTGCTATGCCCTCTTAGAAGTTACCTACAAGGTAAGCCTCCTCTCGCCTTTTGTATTTGAATCCCTCTTGGCACTATTTTCTCAAGTGTGGCTCTTTGAAAGATGACAGCAGTAAGTTGGACTCTCCCAAAGACGAAGCCTGCCGAGTACTCGTATGTCCTCCCAGGCCGTTTAGACTCACTGAACCTGTGGGGCTAACATGTTTTGGAGATTATTATTTGCTCTTTGGTCCTTAGAGCTTGGAGTTTGAAAACGTCCCTGTTCACATTACATGAGTAATAATAAGTGCTCTTGGGAACAGATTGAGTTTTAGCTATTCTTTGATTTGTTAGTTGATTGCTTTAAAGACCAGATGGTGTATTTGATGAGAGATATGCTTGGTTAGTTAGGTTCGGCACACTTAGATTACAAGTCATCTTTCTTTGTTCCTTGCTTACCAGGAAACGGTCACAGACCTTTTAACTTCTAGGCTTTGGTCATAAAAAATGGGGTGGCATTGTCATTCCTTTTGGCGGGAGGCATGGGGGGGTGGGCGTGTGGGACAGATCCAGCAATGCTTTGGGCTTACTCCTGGCTCTGTGTTCATGGAACCGTATGAGATGCTGAGTATCAAACCAGGGTTGGCCACATGAAAGGCAAATGCCCTACCAGCTGCTCCAATCCCCAGCAATGTCACTTTTTTTTTTTTGGCTTTTTGGGTCACACCTGGCGATGCACAGGGGTTGCTCCTGGCTCTGCACTCAGGAATTACTCCTGGCGGTACTCAGGAGACCATATGGGATGCTGGAAATTGAACCCGGGTCGGCCTTGTGCAAGACAAACACCCTACCTTCTGTGGTATTGCTCTAGCCCCACGTTGTCGTTCTTAAATAGACTGTAGTCGCCATGGTGTTGGGCTGGGGGTTTCCAGCTGAGTGGGGTGTGTCTGCTGCTGAGCATGTGCAGAAACACCAGGCCTTGGGCGTGTAGCTCTCTGGTACAGCTGACTATGCTGTGCAGGGCTTGAAGAGGAAGAGGGTGATGGAAGGCCAACATGGGACTGTAGGGTCCTTTAAGGTCTGAGTGTCAGAGAGGTTTTGATTTCACTTAATGGACTCTGTAAGCTTCAGAGAAGGGAAAGCCCAATGTAATCTGTATTTTCTTTTTTGGGGCTACATCCAGATATGCTCAGAGGCTGCTCCTGGCTCTGTGCTCTGGGTTGCTTCTGGCTAGATGTCAGGGAACTGTGAGGTGGTGGGGATGGAACCCAGGTCTCCTGCATGCAGAGCCTGTGCCCCAGCCTCTGTGCACAACCCTCTGCTCCAAGTGCAAGTTTCTTACTTGTTGCTGCTCTGAGTCTCTTCTTTAACATTTGTAAAGGGCACACAGTGGTACGAACAAACCAAAGAAGAGCTGATGGCTCCTACACTCCTTCCAGAACTCCATCTTTTAAAGCAGGTGAGTTGGATATGATGTCTATGTGAGTAAACATGGGCTGTGTGTGTGTGAGTGTGTGTGTGTGTGTGTGTGTGTGTGAGTGTGTGTGTCTGTGTGTCTGTGTCTGTGTGTGCTTAGCACTTCCTTTTGAATTAATGGCTTTCACTGTATCTGGCAGGTAAAAGTTAAAGGTCCACGATACTGGGAATTGCTTATAGACTTGAGCAAGGGGACCCAGCACTTGAAGTAAGTACATTGAATTTTTCAGATGTATCTGTGAAGTGAATATAAGGGAGGATCGAATTTACATTTCGTTTGTTTGGGGGCCACACCCGGTCTTACTCCTGGCTCTGCACTCAGGGATCATGTTGGATGCTGGGTGGGCTGTGTTCAAGCTCTTACCCACTGCAGGATCTTTCTGGTTGTGCGTTGTTACTGCAAATGGTTGGCATCAGTTTTTAATCTTACCCAAGATGATATGTAGACTTTGGGTGGGGCTGAGAATAAAGTGGTCTAAGTCGTTGAAGGAGAGTTTGTATTAGAAAGTGAACATTTAACTTTAGAAATCAAATCCCAAATAACTGTGTTCATTGAGAAACATTTTATTTTTACTCAATACTCATTCTTTGAAGTGATAGTGCTGGGATAGTGATTTTGCGATAGTGCTGTGTTTCCAATCAAGAATTTCCTAGATGAGAATTTCCCAGATAACTTCGCATTAAATTCCTGCATGATTTCTTTCAGGTCCATCCTTTCCAAGGACGGGGTTTTGTATGTGAAGCTCAGAGCGGGTCAGCTCTCCTACAAGGAAGATCCAATGGGGTGGCAGAGTCTGTTGGCCCAGACTGTTGCAAACAGAAACTCGGAAGCTCGGGCTTTCAAGGTAGTATTGATCAATAGATGCTGAAGGAGGAGAAGGAATGGTCCAAGGCCCACGAGCCTTTCCCTCTTGATCTGTAGCACCACCGAGGAGCAGCTGCTCTGTCCAGTGCTGTGTATTGCAAAGATGATGGGTCTCTTTGCTGTTTTAGTGGTTGTCATAAAGCACGTGCTGTGGCCATTTCTCTTAACATTTAGCCAAAGGAACATCCAACATAATGCTTCCCACCTCCCCCCAAAATAAGTCATGTTAAAAATTATACTTACTGACTCTCAGACCTGTGAAGATGTACTTAATTTGTGAAAACAATAAAAAAGGGCTTTTGCTAGGTAGCACTCACTCACTCACTAGTTGCATTTGATGGTTGTGCTTGATGCTGCGGTGTCGGACATTGTGCTTGTGCTGGTGATTGAACTTGGACTATAGGGGGCCACTGGACATTCAGCCTGGGGCCTCTCACCCTGCTTCCAGGCTACGCACCCTCCATTTTTAAAGCACAGTTTGTTGATCCCGCTTGGTAAGCATGAAATGATGCCCAAGCTATTCTATGTGTTCATTATTTTTATATAGTTTGATAGCACATTATAATTGAAATAAATACATTGTTAAAGGAGCACACAGACAGTCTTGTTTTCATGAGGGTTAGTGCATGTTTTGGCCTGCACTGAGATCTCAAACTGAGTTTCCAATCCTAGGAGTATATACTCTAACCTCTCTCCTGTTTCTGAACTTAGCCCTGGTTTTCAGGAATTACATGAGCAAATGTATTTATACTGAAGACACTTTGAGATGCAACTTCTGAAGTAGTCAGTGTATCTATTTTAATTTTGTTCTTGGGCCATGCCCGGCGATGCTTAGGGCTTACTCCTGGCCCTGTGCTCAGGGGTCACTCCTGGTGGTGCTCAGGGGACCATATGAGGTTCTGGGGGTCGAACTTGGTCAACTCTATGTAAGCAAATACCCTACCCACTCTACTATCTCTCCAGCCCATAGTCAGGATATCTAAATATTAGTTATGTTAGAATTTCTAGGTGAATGGTCTAGGACTGTGAATGGTCTAGGATTGTGAATGGTCTAGGACTGTGTTAACTCTGTGTTAACAGAGTAGTTTCCTACTCTGGAGATACCAGTTCATTTATTTGGTGCCAGGGATGTGAAACAAGCCTTTTCCCGCTGTGCTGCATCCCCAGGGCTGTTTTAACATCCCATGTCAGGGATGCTTGGTGGTGCTCTGAGACATGGGGGTTACCTGTGGCAGGATTAGACTTTGCTTTGCAGACCTGAAACAGTTCCATGCTGGGGCCGAGGGCGCCACATTCAGTGGTGGTGGGTGGGTGGGATGTGATGTTCAGAAAGGGGATCAGATTCGGGGCCTTGCAGGTATAAGTTCAAGCTTTCTCTTGAACACGGTTGCCTTTTTTCCTTTTAGGCCACTTACTTAGGATTGAGCCTCAGTTTAATGTTCATGGCTTAAATAGACGGTGCGCATCAATAAATTTTGTTAGACAGTATTTGATAGGCTGACTATGAAATACTTTTGAAGGATTTTTGGGTAAATTTTAAATTAAGTTAGCACTGTTGCTTCTTTGATACATTAGAAGCCCTCATCTCAAAAATCCTAGTCCAGTTTGTAAGAAAGTAGGTTTTAAGACATGAGTTTGGTTGTGGAAAGTTGGCGGTGCCAGAGTATTCCATTTTCAGTCTTCAGCATTAAGTCTCACAAAGCCCAAACCCGGTACTCATTAGTCACAGTCCTCATTCTGCTCACTCCCCAGTCTCTGCAGCCACTGTTTAATGTCTGTGATTTGTGTCTATGATTTGGACTGCTTGATATATCTCATGAAGGTGAATTATCAGAATTTTTATCCTTTTGTGACTGTCTTGAGTGATAGATTTTCCCTCTTACTGTTCCAAAAGCAATTCTAATATTTTACATTTTATTTAATGTAAACTATTAGAAGGAAGGGGGAATCTTTTTAAATTTATTTTTTTAGGCAACTTACTAGCATAGGACTTCAAAAAAAATATTGGCCTTTTGATTAATCAGTAGCTCGTGTTACTGTGTGCAAGAAAGTTTCTTGGCAGAACAGTTGATGTGGTTCTCATAAGTTTGTAGAACCTTGGTTTTGGTGGAATGATTGTGTGAAAAGAAAGTAGGTTTCTTAAAACTATACAATGCAAGCAATAAGGAAATAATCTTTATTATCTTATTATCTTTATTTTCTTTATTATTATTATCTTAATCTTTATTATCATTGTTTTTGTTGCAGCCTGAAACGATTTCAGCCTTCACTTCTGATCCAGCTCTCCTCTCCTTTGCTGAATATTTCTGTAAACCTGCTGTGAACATGGGTCAGGTATATACTACATGATCTGCTGCTCAGCTCTGAGACTACAATTTGTTGTTATTTCTGTGGATGCCACCACAAAAATTCATGTCTGTATCTACCTTTGAGGTGGATGTCCTGCCCCAGAGACAGGATAGTTGGAGTTGAGCAAAATCAGATTTCCCATAGTATAAAATTAAATTTAATAACTTTCAATCTTGATTGAAGAAGTGACTTAGCTTTTTTTACATAGTTGGGTTTGGTGGATAAGACTTTTTTTTTTTTTTTTTTTTTCATTTTGTTTTGGGACACATCCAGCTCTGCTCAGGGCTTACCCTTGACTTTGTGCTCAGGGATCATCTCTGGCGACTCAGGGGGCCATGTAGGGAGCTGGGAGTTGAGCCTTTGTTGACCCCATGTGAGGCCAGCATCCTCCCCTCTGTACTGTTGCTCTGCCCTGCACCACCACTCCCGTTTTCTATCCTATAGAGCTGAAAAAATGGGCCACAGTCGGTACTCAATAATTCTTTCTTGGTTTTGGAATCTTCATTGCTGTATATACAGTTACAAATAGTTTTTTTTACTTTTTACAGAAACAGGAAATTCTGGGTCTCTTTTCTTCTGTGTTGTATGAATGCGTTACTCAGGAGACGCCAGAGATGTTACCTGCGTACATAGCGATGGATCAGGTATGGCTCAAAGAACTGCCTCGGTTTGTTGAGATCTATTCTGCAGTTCAGATCACACTCAACAGTGAAGCTTCTCTGCCTTTTGTCTGAGGGAAAAGGGGGTGTGGGTGGGGGAGGACCGCACACCGCAATGCTCAGGGCTTACTCCCAGTGAGACTCAGGGGACCATGTATGGTTCAGAGATCAAACCTGGTCCTGGTGCAAACAAGGCAAGCGCCTTCCCCGCTGTACTTTCTCTTTTGGCCCTATCTTTTTTTTTTTTTTTTGGTTTGTTTCTGATTTGCATTTGGGAATTCAACAGAGAGAACCCTATCAAAATTGAAAGTGTATACATATCCTAGGAAGCCTGGGAATTCCGAATGCTCTTGCTGGGCTGTCTTACTTGATGTTTTCATTCTCAAGCCCTTTCCCCCTCACTCCTGAACTTGGAGAGGAGAGAAGAGTCTTTTACCCTCCTTCCCCCTGCATCCTCGCATGGTCTCTTATCTTCCTCCTGACAAACCCTCTTCCTGGAAAAGACTATAGATGAGGAGCGGATGAGCAGGACCCTAGCCCTGGCAGTAAATGTGTATTGTACCTGCATGGTTAAGCTTGGAAGAGATCACAGCGTCACTGTGTAGTGAATTAAGGAGCTGAAATTCATTTTATGTTGTTGTTTTAAAAGTTCTAAAACAAAAGGTGGGGGGAGGGGCACTTGGAAAATAGTTCAGCAGTGTGGGACTCATGCAGGAGACCCCAAGTTTAATCCCCTGCTCTGTTGGGGAGCCTCACTCCTGCTGTCTCTCTCCGGAACACACCCCTAAAATGGGTGACACAGGTAATGATGCTTGACAGCTCCTTAAGGCTCAGACTTGTTATTCACGGTAGCTTCTTGGTAGTGCATAACAGCTTTTTAAGAATATCTATCTTCTAGATCCATATTTGCAGGGAAGCCAAGCCAGTGGTTTTGTTTGTTGCTAAAATTTACCTGGGGAATCCTCAGAATGTAGGTTCTCAAATCATGTTTCCTGTCTCCTGAGTCAGTTTCTTAGATGAGGTCCAGGATCTAATTTAAATAGCTCTTCAAGTAAATATGAGTTCTTAGATAAGAGTTATCTCCATCTAAACAAAGAAAATAATTTCTTTTATTATAATTTTTTTAAATTAAAAGGATTGTGATTTACAAAGTAATTGACAATTAAGTTACCAATCCCACCACCATTGTCAATCTTCCTCCACCAGTGTTCCCAGACTTTATCCCCAACCCCTGCCATCCCTGCCACCCCCTACCTTCCACCTTAGACAGACACATTACAAAGCTTGGTGGTTACAGGTAGATGTAATGCTTTCAATGTTGTTGAGTCTGTGTTTTGAATATAACCACTCCCCCACATCACCAGTATAACTAAAGCCCCGACCCTTGTTCACCATTACTTTATTTTCTCATCTTCTTCCTTCCCGCCGTGATTTCTTCCTTCTTTGTCCTTCTCCCTAAGCTGTGGGTCAGTGGTGATAGAGGCACCCCTCCCCTTTATTACGTTATACTCTAAGAAAATAATTTCTGAGGGCAAAACAATCTAGTAAAAGCTGAGTGATAAAATACATTTAAGTGGTGGGTAATTTACTAAAAACTGAAAATTGCAGTGTGTTCCGTAACTTTAATTAAAAGACTAGTTCCAGTATGACCAAGCAGGCTCACAATACCATTACTATTTGACATTCCTCCCTTGTTGTTTTTTTTGTTTGTTTGTTTGTTTTGTTTTGTTTTTTGGCTTTTTGGGTCACACCCAGTGATGCTCAGGGGTTACTCCTGGCTCTGCACTCAGTAATCACTCCTGGTGGTACTTGGTTGACCATATGGGATACTGGGGATGGAACTCAGATTGGCCGTGTGCAAGGCAAACGCTTTACCCGTCGTACTATCAGTGAGGCCCATCTCCATCTCCTCTTTTTTGAGTGGATGGTTTTATAATTGTATGGTTTTCACGTTGGCCGTGTCCCATATTCTGCCTCTGGGCAGCCCAGAAGTCCTTGGCTGAGACTTGTCTCCTCTTCTCAGTCATGGGCAGCCATGGTTATTCTGTGGCAATGGTGATTTTGCAGATGGAGCTTAAGCACAGTATTACCAGTACAGCTGTTTCTGCCGTATGATCCTGGGATCCCCAGCCTGATGCCGGCCCTGTCATTGTACCCAACACGGGATTCCAAAGTGATAATTAGCAGTCAACCAATTGGGTTTTCATTTTTCAGAGCCATTTTGCAAGGAATAAGCACATTTGTCTTCGTTGTTTTTGGCTGAAGCCTTTTGTCTGGGACCGTATTGAAACAGACTGTGTATCTGTGGGGACGTGACCTCAGAACAGAGCGTCCTCCCTCTGCCCTTTGTCATCTCTTGGTTGATGTCTGCAAACAGTAGGACCATGGGATTAGTTCAGATGGAAGAGCTCGTGCGTAGTTTGTGCAAGGCTCTGAGCTTTATTCCTATTACATACACTATTGGCTACAGTCAGTAGTGTAGCGCCTTCACACCTTGGGGGTGACCCCTGTCAAAGAAAATAAATACAGAACGCTCTAGTATATACATCTGTGGAAGGCGTAGTTAGAGCAATTTCTGTCTTTCATTTAATGGATTGCTTTTCCTGTTCAAGGCTGTCAGACGACTGGGAAGAAGAGAAATGTCTGAGACATCGGAACTTTGGCAGATAAAGTTGGTGTTAGAGTTTTTCAGCTCCCGAAGCCATCAGGAGCGGCTTCAGAACCACCCGAAGCGAGGCCTCTTCATGAATTCTGAATTCCTCCCTGTTGTAAAATGCACCATTGATAATACCCTGGACCAGTGGCTGCAAGGTAATAACATTGTGCCTGTGTCTTCGGGTACACTGGGACTTTTCTGTTTGCCTTTGTTCTTCATTGGTGAGTGGGGAAAATCGTAATTCCAAGCCAGAATGTCTGTAGTTGATGTTTCCAGTTAGGTGAGTGAGACTCAGTTCTCAAAAACTGTATTTGGCCAGTGTCAGGGATGAAACTTCGGGCCTCATGCCTGCCAGGAAGACAGTGCTCCTGAGCCACATCACTGGGCCCCCCCAAGGCTTGTTTTGGGTGGGGGGCCCTCATCTGATGGTTCTCTGAGCTTACTTGTGGCTCTGCATTCAGTGGTCACACCTGGTAGTGCTCAGGAGACCACAGTATATGCCAGGGGTTGAACCTGGGTTGGTTACGTGCAAGCTAGACACCCTACACCCTCCCCGCTGTGCTGTTTCTTTAGCACCCCCCCCCCCCGTCCCCCGTCCCCCGTCCCCCGCCCTCCACCCCCATCTCCAGTGTTTTTTAACCTCTGTGACATTGTTCTCAATAGCCATCATTATTTCACCTTTTCTTCATTGGCTGTTATAGGAGTCATCCCACCCCTTTCTTTCAAAGTTTCCTTCCCTCCCTCACTGTCCACTCCATCACATTCTGTTGCTTCTTTCTTAGAATCAAATCATGTTTACTTTTTGCCTGCACCGCTGCTTTAGATTCCAAAAAAAGTCTTGCTTTTATTCTCATTTCCCTTCACATACTTTTTAATCGACTGACACAGAATGGTCTTCTGAAGAGTAAACCCATGTATCCTCTGCCTAAAATCTTTGAAAGTTTTGATTCAGCTGGGTGTTGGGGCTAGGGGGTGGGGTTGGGGAGAAAAACTACCACGTGTCCATCAGCCAACGTATGACTGATAGTTGTGTGTGACCTGTTTTCCTCTTCAGCTCTTTGCGTATCATTTGTTCCTCAGAAAGTGCACTTTGGGGCTGGAGTGGGTAGGGCGTTTGCCTTGCATTAAGCCGACCCGGGTTTGATCCCCAGCATCCCATATAGTCCCCCAAGCACTGCCAGGAGTAATTTCTGAGTGCATGAACCAGGAGTATCCCCTGAGCATCGCCTTTTTGGGTGTGACCCAAAGAGGCCCCAAAAAAGAGATTATACTTTATCCACCCTGAATTATCTTCTCCCCCAGAACAGACCTTCTTCCTGGGCTTGTCGCTCCTCTTCTTTTCCTCTCATTCTTTGCCTCCCAAACTCATTCCCATCCTTGCCTTGATTGCCGTAGACCAGCAGATCTCAGCCTGGGCTCCCTGGAGCAGCAGCATCCTCTCCTGGGCCTTGGTAGAAATGTGGTTTCTCTAATGCTGCCCTGGGCTGTCTGTGTCGAAACTCGGGGGATGCTTTACCCCAGTGGTTCTGGTGTGTTAGAGTTTGAGACACAGCCCTGCCTGGTGAGGGGGCCAGGAGCTAAGGTCATTCCCCACGTATCCATCCCAGAGAGAAGGATATGGGGGTGGCAGAGGGATCCCATCCCTGCAGCTCTGGGAATTGTTTGGACCTCGGGGTTTGTGTCATCTTGCTCTTGTCTACAGTGCCTCTGTCGCTCCCTACTTTACCACGGAGGTCTGCATGCCCAGCGTGGTGCCTGCCTGGTGTAGGCTGTGTGTTCACTGAGCTCTGTTATTGTGATCACACAATGAAGTTCCTCAGGTCTGTCCGTCCACATGGGGTGGTTCAGTTCCGCGCTGACTGTGTTTCTCTCGCAGCTGGGGGAGATGCGAGTGTGCAGGCTTACCTCAGTGGACAGCCCTGGGATGACGCACAGCTGAGCATGTTGGCCTGTTTCCTCGTCTACTACTCGGTGCCCACCCCGAGGCACCTGCCGTCCCTCGGACTCGAAGGTAACCGCACCTCTCTCTCTCTCTCTCTCTCTCTCTCTCTCTCTCTCTCTCTGTCTCCGGGCTGGCGATAGGAAGAACATCTAGGGAGATTGTTTCTCTCCTTAGATTTTGTCTTCGTATGTTTTTGGTGTTATTTTCGAGAACATCTCCTAGCAAACTTTTCGCGTTTCTTTCTATTCAGAAAAGGAGGGATATTTTTCAGAGATCAAAACTCAGTGATCACACCTGGTAGTTAGTGCTCAGGGGACCACGTGTATGCCAGGGGTTGAACCTGAGTTGGTTACGTGCAAGCTAGACACCCCCCCTGCTGTGCCGATTCTTTAGCCGCCCCCCCACTCACCCCCTAGTAGATATACTCTGGGTTTTCAAAATGAGGACTTCTTGTTCCTTTAGTCATATAATCTGATTTCTGTGATTAAAAGATGCTAAGGTGAACAGTTGGTTAGAGCGTGGTGCTTATAAAATGTGCAGATCCTTAATTCTATATATGCTTAAGTGTATTCAGGAGAGGTCCTTGTTCCACAGCGCCTGGTGCTCTGGGAGCACGGGGCTGCCTTTGCAACTGCACAACACCTCCAAATCCCACTATACTGACAGCCCAGTAGGAGCGCAGCAAAATAGTTGGGAAAGTAGCATCTTAGTCCAATAAAGGAGCAAAAGCAGTAACACAGAAGGCACAGCTAGCAACAGACAGCAGCAAACAAACAACTCGGTTTAACCTCAGACGTTGACTTCAATTACACCATTGTGAGAACAATTTTCACACATTTTCTTCTGTTGAACTACTTTTTGGTAATTCCTTTTACCATTTTTTTGAGCAAGCAATATAAAATAAGTCATTTTTGTGCCTGCTAAGGGGGCAGGCTTTGGAGGTTGGGTGGGAAACTGGTAACAGGAGGAGGGAAGGTCTCACTGGTGGTAGGATTGGCGTTGGAACATTGAAGGTGTGAAACTACTATATTATGAACAATTATGATATTTAAATAAAGTTCAAAAAAATTCTGAAGAGGGAATTTAAAATATTAGAGTCTGACTTTTTTCAGGATGTAGCGTCAAATAGGAAGTTTTTCCAGTAAATGGAATCATTCTATACAGTTAATTTTAAGTACCTTGAGACTGAAAAGAATTCTTTTGAGGAAAGTTGAGGTTACTTTATTTGATCATTTAAACTTAAAGTTGAGTGTCATTTCTAGTTTATTGCTGTTGTGAAAACCTCAGACTGAAAGACGCCATCTTAAGGCTGCTAGTAATAGCTGTGACAGAATTGCTTTATTGGATTTAGTCTTTCTCAAAAACAAGTGTAAAAGCCACATAGGCTCCATAAAACCACTGCTGAGGGTAAATGGTAACAGTCCTGCTGGCTGGGCTCAGTCCTAGGAAAGGAAACCTGTTGTGGAAAGTCCCTCTTTACCCTAATTTTGCCCAAAGTCATTTGCTAGTTCAAGCACAAGTAGTAGAGTCAGCAGAAAGCAGTAGCAGCACTGGCCAGAGCAGCCAGAGGTTGGTTTTACGACCGAACCAGAGACAGAACTTGAGGAGCAGGAACACAAATAGGAGGAAATAGAGGAATAATTACTCTGAGGTCTGATTGCATGCTTGCCTTGAGGCACTTAATAAAACTTCGCTTGCTCGTGCACAGGGCTGGCCTGCAAGAAATCTAGCCGAGGTTAGTGGCGTAAAAAGGTGCTCAGGTACCAGCAGTACAAAGCAGACTAAGGGCGGAGCTGAGGAATGCCAGCATCGGATTGTTAAGGTAGGAGTGCCTGAGGCTGGCTGCTTTCGGCCTTTCCAGTGAAACAATGGCAGAACCAAGCCTTAGGAGAGAAGGTAAAACAGCAATAACCAGGTCCAGAATCATCCGCTACCAAACTTGAGATCTACTTGCGTGACAGAGGAAAATTTAACCATTTTCGGAGGGAAGATGTAAATCCAGAATCTAGATGATTTTTAATACATAATATTCAGCACTGAATAAAAAGTTAATAAGATCTGACAAAGAGAAAGAGATAATTCTCTGTGACCATATATTAGTATGATCAGGACTTCTAAATAAAAATGACATATTTCCAAGGATATAGAGGTGTAGAGGATGTAAAAAGAAGTCTGGGCTCAGTTAAATGGACATCCTGGAACTAAAAAATATGCTCAAGAATTTGGCATATGGATTAATTAGCATATTAGACGTGACAGATGAGTTGGAAGACAGGTGTGAAGAAAATAGATTGAACACAGAATAATGTATGAAGGAAACAGAATAGAATATGAGACAGGTGGAACACAATTGAAAACTTAGAAGATGGATGTAGTTGCGATCCCAGAGTAAGAGGAGTGAGAAAATGAGATCAGGGTAGTAGTTGTAGGAATGGGGCTATTAATTTTGCAAATTAGATGATGGTCTTCAAACTATAGTGACGTGAACCCTGATACTCCTAATACAACACTTAGTCCTATCATGGTGAAGGTGATGCGGGCAGAAGAGGAAACAGTTACAAGCATAGATTTCCCTTTTGGCTCTGGGGGTCTGATTGACTTGCCTATCTAAAACAGAAAGAGCAAAAACTGGACAGTGCCCTGGGAACAGTGGCTTCTTACCCATGATTGCCTCCAAACCCACCCTCCTATTTTTCAGCCATGAGCAGAACAAGAGGGGGAGGGAAACTGGGCAGAGCCAGGGAGGCGTGCTCTCCCTAAATCGCATCCGAATAGATGCAAGCATGCAGGCATCAATATAACCTACCCCAAAAGCAGTACACAGAGCCAAGAGGTGGTGTCTGGAGATGGAGGTGAAAGGGAAAGGCATGCTCCACTAGAACCCATAGGTCCTCCTTCCAATCACTTGACCTCGGTGGAACATTGGAATCTCCTGGCTCTTATCTCCCACCCACATTCCTCAGCAATGGCAGGGGAGACTGTGGGACTGCGGTGGAGATGAATGCCTTCTAAAGAGAGTGGCTTCACAGTTACTTCACTTTCTCAGGTGTACCTCTTTACTGAAATATCAAGGGGGTGAATTATGGTGCATAAAGGTAGACAGGCACATTTATTATTTATATTTCAGCAGAATATAGTTAAACAGTAGTGATGTATCACAGATTATTGGAGGTCAGCTTTTTAAAAGTACAGAAAACATGTATAGTTTTATATCAAGTCAGACTTTACTCCTTAGGGAAATACATAATTTACATAGTATCTTTCGATTATTGTTTTCAGAGGAAGAAACTAGCTTGCTGTAGGATTATCTGCTGCTTTCCTTGCAAGGAGCTGTATGGCTGAGTTTATTTGGTGACCTTTTCTTCCACTTCCTCTTTCTTTTATTTTGTAGGAAGTACAAGCTTTGCTGAGCTCCTCTTCAAGTTCAAGCAGCTGAAAATGCCCGTGCGAGCCTTGTTGAGGCTGGCCCCTTTGCTTCTGGGGAATCCACAGCCAATGGTTATGTGATCCTGGCTGGGTGACCTCACTGACGTCCCAGTGTTGCTGCAAGCATGGCCAGGGCACCCAGCGAAGGAGCAGTGATGGGTTTTACAGCAGAGCAAGTGGGGTGGGGTGGGATGCAGGGTGGGGCTGTGCAAATCTCCATGGACCAGCCAGAAAAGTCAAAGTGTTTTAAAGATTTCAGAGAATCCAGTTGCTCTCGGCATTAACATTCTATATGAAAGTGTGTTAACTTTTACTTTGTAAATAAAGTTTTTTTGGTTTGTTTTCAGAATTCTTGATTGCTTGTTTGGGGCTTCAGGGAAAAGCAGGTGGGCTGAGTAGATACTGATTTTTAGAAAAAAATTTGTAACTTTGGTTCACACCTAGAGATGCTCGGGGGCTACTTCTGTCTCTTTGCTCAGTAATTATTCCTCGTGGTATCCAGGAGACTATATGGGGTGCTGGGGATCAAGCCCCAGATATTTATTTTTAAAGTCTTTCAAATGTGGTTACTCAGGGAACGTGACACAAAACTGAGAAGTGCCAGGTTATCAGAGAGGCCATTCTGTAGCAACAAAGGAACCGAGGATCCGAGGATCCGTAGCGTTTCCTTAGATGCAGTTGCCTCTTCTCATTTGTCAGCCAGCTGTGTGCATGTGAAAAAGTGTTCACCACCACTTCTTATCAGGGAAATGCAAGTCAAACAATGAAATACTGTCTTACACCAGTGACAGTGGCACATATCAAAAGTCTGGAAACGAAAACAAAAAATAGAGAAAACAAACAGAACAAACAAAAAGTCTGGAAACAACCAGTGCTGGTGACATGGTGAGAAAGGAATCCTTATTCACTCTTGTTTGTTTGGTTCGGTCTCTATGGAATAAATATGGAGGCTTCTTTTCAAGACTAGGGGCCTGACAGTGCAGACAGTAAGGTGCTTGCCTTGAGTGTGGCTGACCTTGTTTCAATCCCCAGTACCACTTTTGGTTCCCCAAGTGCAGAGCCAGCAACAAACCTTGAGCATTGGTTGTTATGTCCCCAACCCCTGGGAAATACATTGAAAAAAAGGTAGAGCCCCTGTGTTACCCACTGATTATTCTTCCTGGCGTCTACCCGCCAAACATGAAGACTAATTCAAAAGAATATATGCATACCTGTGTTCATTGCAACACTTACTTAGTTCAATAGCCAGCATATGGATACACATCAAATGTTCAATGACAAATGAGTGGACAGAGAAGTCGTGCTATATATACACTGTGGAATACTCTGCAACCATAAGAAAAGATGGAATCTAGCTGTTCACTACAACTTGGATGGAAGCAGAGGGCATCATGTTAAATGTGAAGCCAGGGCAAAGGAAAAATAGCAGGTGTTCTCACTCATCTGTGACATAAGGAGAACTAAAACAAGGGAAGAAACAATATTTGATTCTGAATATAGAACCGAGACTGGCAAGTTAAGTGGGAGTCAGTGGAGGAGAATGACAGAGGACTGGAAGTAACATAGGACATTTAGGGTAGAGGATCTTGGGCATTTTGGTGGAGGTAAAAGTGCGGTAACTGCATATACATTCAACATTATAAAGATGGAATCTGAACAATAAGACAATTTTTTAAGAAGTTAAGCAAACCCCCAAACATAACACCTTCAAAAAAGTCCATGCCCAGAGAACATTACAGTTAGATTTCTGAACACTAAACACAAGAGAAATCTTGCAAGAGGAGCAAGACAAAATAAATACCTGTCTCAGGGGGAAGAAATGGGGTGATATATGGGGCACACTTCTCATCTGAAACTAGGGAGCCCAGAAGTATAATTTAAAAAATTTTTTTTTAATTGAATCATCGTGAGCTACACTTAACAAAGCTTTCATGTTTGTTTCAGTCATACAATGATCGAACACCTGTCCCTCCACCAGTGCATATTTTCCACCACCAGTGTCCCCAGTATCCCTCTCCTGCCCCGGTCCCACCCCTCCCCCTGTCTCAATGGCAGACAATTTACCTCTACTTATGGGCATTATGATTTGCAATACAGATACTGAGAGGCCATCATGTTTGGTCCTTTACTTTCAGCAGACATCTCCCATCCCAATCGATCCCTCCAACTATCATCGTCTTAGTGATCCCTTCTCTGTCCCAGCTGCCTTCTTTCCCAGCTCATGAGGCAGGCTTTCAACTATGGAGCAATTTTCCTGACCCTTGTGTCTACTGTTCTTGTGTCAGTCTCATGTTATATTCCACAAAAGAGTGCAGTCATTTTATGTCTGTCTCTTTCTGACTCATTTCCCTTAGCATGAATTCTCCATGACCATCCACTTATAAGCAAATTTCATGACTTCCATCTTTCCTAACAGTTGCATAGTATTCCATGGTGTAGATGCACCATGGTTTCTTTAACCAGTCGTTTGTTCTCGGGCACTCAGGTTGTTTTTCAGATTTGGGCTATTGTGAAAAGAACATACAGGTGCAGATGTCACTTCTACTGTGCTTTTTTTGCACCCGCGGGATATATTCCCAGAAGTGGTTTTGCTGGGTCATATGGAAACTCAATATCTAGTTTTTTAAGGAATGTCTGTATTGTTTTCCAAAAAGACTGGACCAGTTAGCTTTCCCACCAACAATGAGAGTCCCTTTCTCCCCACATCTGTGCCAGCACTGGTTCTTCTTGTTCTTTTTGATGTGTGCCTGTTTCTGTCATGTGAGATGATATCTCATTGTTGTTTTGATTTGCATCTGCCTGATGATTAGCAGTGGAGGGCATTTTTTCTATGTGCCTTTTGATCATTTGTATTTCTTTTTTGAGGAAGCTTCTGTTCATTTCTTCCCCCCATTTTTTGATGGTGTTGGAGGTTTTTTTTTTTTCTTGTACAATTCTACTAATGTCTTGTATATTCTGGATATTTAACCCCTTATCTGACGGGTAATTGGGTAAATATTTTTTCCCATTCTGTGGGCCCTCTCTCTATTTTGGTCACTTTCTTTTGAGTTGCAGAAACTTCTTAGTTTAATGTAGTCCCATTTGTTTATGTTTGTTTCCACAGTGGTGTTTCATCCTTAAAGATGCTTTTAGCTTCATTGTCATGGAGGGTTCTGTCTACATTTTCCTCTGCGTACCTTATGGATTAAGGTATGATGTTGAAGTCTTTGGTTTTATTTATTTATTTTTTAGGTCTCACCTGGCGATGCTCAGGGGTTACTCCTGGCTCTGCACTCAGGAATTTCTCCTGGCTCTGCACTCAGGAGTCACTCCTGGTGGTGCTTGGGGGACCATATGAGATGCTGGGAATTGAAGCCGGGTCGGCCATGTGCAAGGCAAATGCCCTACCCGCTGTGCTATCGCTACAGCCCCCATATGATGTTGAAGTCTTTAAATCCACTTTTATCTGACTTTTGTGCCTGGTGTTAGTACAGAACACTACCTCAAGAAACAAGAGAGGACACTAGGAAATGGAGACATATCCCTTGCTCATGGATAGGGAGGATATTATCAAAATGGCAATACTCTCCAAAGCACTATACAGATTTAATGCGGTCCCTATAAGGATACCTTTGACATTCTTCAAAGAAATAGACCAAACACTCCTGAAATTCATATGGAAAAATAAACACCCATGAATAGCTAAAGCAATCCTTGGGAAAAGAAGATGGGTGGTATCACCTTCCCCAACTTCGGACTGTACTACAAAGCAGTAGTAATTAAAACAGCATGGTATTAGACCTGTAGACCAGTGGAAGAGAGTTGAATATTCTGTTACAGACTCTCAAATATATGATCACCTAATCTTTGATAAAGGAGCAAGAAATGCGAAGTGGAGCAAGGAAAGCCTCTTCAACAAGGGGTGCTGGGAAAACTGGATAGCACCCTTCAAATAATGAACTCATCAAAACACCTAGTACTGTATAAACAGCCAAGATATGGAAAAAATTTATTTACTTTGAGGAGGCAATTTATGATACAAAGCATGCATCCAGAGGCCAGGTGGTTCTCTCCTGATGCTCTTAGCCTTCCATCTGCGTTCCTTCCTGAGTCTGCTCCTGCCTATGGGACAAAGGCAGAAAAGGGCTGACTGGGAAAGCAAAATGTGACACTTAGTATTTCTTCAAATTAAAAGGAAAAGAAAAAAAAATGGTATATTTCAGCCATCCCATTTGAACCAAGATTGAAGTACTCAAATATCCAGGCAACTGTTAACTTTACTCAATTATTTATTAGTAAATTTCCATTCTAAATAACTGTTGACTATGATAAATAACTCAAAAGAGTAATTTATAGTATATGAACTCATACATGAAGGAGAATGTCTGTCAATAAAGCAGAAATCAGCTTTTATGACCAGAATAAAACATAGCAGAAATCTTGAAACAGTGTACTGTTTCTCTCTGGGCCTACTGACTCATTGTCAGAGAGTGAAGCAGATATTTTGGGCAGTGTGACCTTAACCAAACACACCAGGATTTTCAAAGACATCAATCTCAACCCTTTGAGAGTGTGGCTTTTAGAACATTTCAGCTGCCTCAGCTCTGTGGCAAGGGAAGAGCTGGAGAAACACATCCAGCACTGAAGGGTTGGAGCCCAAGTGTGGCACACCCCACGCCCTGTCAGAGCCTGTTGGCAGAAAGTAGTCAAAAGCATCCATGTCATGAAAGCACTCCTGCATGTGTCCCTGAAGGGGACCACCAGATGTTAGGAACACTGAGTGTCCCGATCTGGTTCTAAACTTAAATTCCTCCATCCATCTGTTGTCCTTCCAAATGGGAACACTCATCATTGCTTCCACAGATGGACATAACTAAGGAAGCACGGCCATTTCACACACAGGGATGTTATTACTAATTCCCTAATGCACATTGACATCTGTGCTCCTCTTTGTGTCTTTTTTTTCTTTTTGGGTCACACCCGGAGATGCACAAGGGTTACTCCTGGCTCATGCACTCAGCAATTACTCCTGGCCGTGCTCAGGGGACCATATGGGATGCTGGGAATCGAACCTGGGTCAGCCGCATGCAAGGCAAACGCCCTACCTGCTGTGCTATCACTCCAGCCCCTCTTTGTATCTTAAAAAGGAACAAACACATGAACTGGGGCGACTGTGACTGTGACCAGAGGAGATGGGTTAAGCCCTATAGAACTTTGTGCTAACTTGAGTTGATTTGAATCAAGCCATATCTAGGAAACCATTGACTCAATGCCCTTCACCGGGGAGGGGGAGAGGGTCATGTCCCAGTTCAGAGGAGTTGACACCCCAGAGGAGGTGAGGAGGATCTTCCTCTCAGCTTGATGGTCAGC